ATGTCTCAGTAAAGACCTTATTTTTTAAAATAAGCTTAAGTTATATAGCCTTAGGTAGGGGGAGCCAATATTTCTACCAAGGCAATCTGGCTCCACAGCTTGCATATTTAAGTGCTCCACATTCTATGTCTCTAGTGAGAAGACATATGCTAGGTGATATTACCTTCTCATTTATTTACTCCAAGGACATAATTTGGTGTATGAAGAATGGCCAGACCGAATGCAGATAACTTTCCAAGAATAGTTTTCTCAAAACAGAGTTTTTGACAATAATTAATTAGTTACAATTAACTTTAATCACTGACAAGAACCTGAAAGGTATATATTTCATTGCAAAAAGTATTTGATGAGTATATTCCTAGTTAAGTAACTGAATTGTTTAACTGGCTGCCTTTGTTAGATTTCTTCATTCAAATATCAACAAATGCTTATTGATTACCTACTCTATGCCACGTCCTCTTCTAGGCATTAGAGACAGAGCTGTGGAATAGAGATACAAACTTCCTGTCCTCTGAAAACTTACATTAAGAGGGATAATAAAGAACAAATAAATGTTAGTGATAACTGTAATTAAAAGTGTATATAGGGCTACCAACTGTGGAAAGGTAGATGAAGAAAAGAGAGTGACTAGTATATAGGGAATGGATTATAGGCAAAGAAAATGAATAGTCAGAAATACTGAGTTTTCAAGGTGCTCTGACAAAATTATAGCTCTAGATTTTGAGTGTCAGTAATCAACTTTACTCGCATCTTTAATTTTACAGTAGGACCAGTTACTTAGTGTCATTGGCATATAGGAAACTATATATTTTTTGTTCTTACAACAGAAGGGGGAAAGGGAATGAGAGACAGGGTAGTAGAGGAGGCTTCATACATTTTGTTCATTTCAAAGCCACCATCAAAGACTTGAAAGACATAGGTAGGCTCATTTCTATATCCTTCCCCCCTGAATTCTGACTTGAATGCTACAAACAATTGATGGGCTCTAGATTCCTATGAGCAGCACAGGTTGTGCTCCCCAGGAGCAGATTCTAAGATGGAGATTTACATGCAACAGGCTTGTTAGAAAGTGTTCTTGGAATCTAAATTTGTGGAAGAGAAGAAAGGAAGCTAGATTGGGAGGAGGGAGAAGGCAAGGCATTGTGCATCTTCAATGGAAGGCTCAGCAACTTGCTGAGTAAAGAGCTCATAGACCAAGTTGGAGAGACAGCAGTGACCCTTTCTACTTTCCCCTACCATTCACTGGATGCCTCTCTTTTCTCCAGAAGGTAGACATATCAGTAGGGGATGTGGTTGTCTTTAGCTGAGGCAATCCCCTAAGGAGGCTGACAGCTGAAAGCAGTCTTCTGTCAGGACTCTCAGCAGCTGTGGAATAAGCCCTGTTTTTCTGAAGGAGAATCTGAGCGGTACATTACAGTATCCCTCACAATAAACTTAGTCTGGTGATGACTCAAACTGTAGCTGCTTTTCTGGATGTTTGTGTTACTAAATGGAACAATATGGCCCCTAGAGCATTATTTGCAAAAATTGATTTAGCTACCTGCTTTCTCATCTACTGAACTGGACCTCTCAGGAAGAGATTCATAAATCTGTATTTTTATAAAGATCCCCAGTGATTACTCTATAAACAGTCTATAGACCCTCATTTTGGAAGCACTGTTTATGGTTCCATAGACCGTTGTATCTCTAATTCTGGCCAGTGGGATTTAGTGGAAGTATGTGTGTCACTTCTGAGTTTTACCCTCAGAGGAGAAGGAGCACAAACTCCCCTCTCCCATGCTACATTTTTGCTGATTGGAATAAGAATGAGATGGTAGGAGCTAGTGGGAACCATCATGGGCTAACAAGATGGAAGCTGGACAATGCATTTTGCAAAAAAACAGAAGAGACAGGCATAGCCATCTGTCTCTGGATCACCTACCTAGTTTTGTGTACGACAGAGAAATCCATTTCTATCTTTTAAAAGTCAGTCTTATTTTTTTCCTGTAATCAGCTTAAATCTTAGTAATATGAAGATAGTGGGTCCTCATCTTTGAGCAAAGGATATGTTGTCATACTTTGTTTATTCACACTAGGAAATAGACCCACCAGATTTTGGAAACATCAAGAAACCTGTATCGATATAAATGTATTTCTTAGGTCTACTCACTGGATGACCTAAGACCTGCAAACTCTAGAGGCACACAGACAAAATATGAGAGCAGTTCAGCTTATCGAGGTTTTGGTAAAAGCCAGCTCAATGTTTAACTCATAATCTGTGTTGATCCAATGGTTCTAGAAGAATCTACAACAGAAAAGCTAAACCTAGTGGAGGAGCCAATGACAAGTTGTAAAATGGTCATAGAAATAGAAGCTTCTGAGCTTTGGGAGTGAGATCACACTATCTCCAGAGACACTTTTTCTATTTTCAACAAATACTAGCTTTCTGGCAATACTAAAATAACAAGTGACCATGAACCAAAGCCCCTCATCTTGGAGGAGGCGTTAGAGTATCTGTGTTGCCATGGATTTCAGCATTCTCAGCAGCAATCCATCATCCATCCAAAGTCATATATACAGAATAGAGTCCATTCAGGTCTCAAAGGCACAAGTCAGAAAGTGAGATCCATGCAATAATTTCTAAATGCCCACAATGTGCTACTACCTATTTGGCTGCCATATTTCTCTGAATTAATGCCTTTTTCTTAGAGGAGGAATTATTTATAATCATTTAACACAGGATGAAAAGACTCAAAGCTAGATTGCTTATAGACCCAGTATTAGTGAAAAGTGAGCCTATCTGAGGAGTGCTGTGAAAAACAACTGTAAAGGAAAATTCTCTGTAGCCATTGTGCTTGGCAGCAGGTTAGCCTCAAGTCAGTATTCACATGGATTTCTCAGATATAGCAAATAATTTGTATAGATGGCCCAGGACTTGAAGGGAGAAAAAATGGAGAATGCCAAGAAGGGTTGGGGGAATTGTATGAGTAATTCAGAATAGATTCATACCTGAACATAAATGGATGCTTAAAGAAGGAGGTAGCAATTGTAGTAGGAATGAGGGTCATGCATGGGTTCAGCAGCCTAAAATTCCTCCACTAAAGACACTTGGGACACCACCATGATAGTAATCATGGTATTGTGATATAAAGGGAAGACAGTGATCTTCCATTTTCATCTACCATGTCAGACAGCTACTCGGTAATAAGAAGACAACTTTGATCATTTTCTGGTGGTGAGAAGACAGCATTTATTTCTCTGAGGTAACAAAGTATGGATTGGCATTTTCTTTTTGTGTCGTCTAATATGCCTAGACAAGCACTTCTATCTATAGGCTTACTGAATACTCTATTCACTGCCATGAAATGCTGTGCAGCATTGCTTCTAACCAAGGAATTTATTTTCAAGTGCAGAAAAGTTCCTATAGAATAAGATCAAAGAAAAGAAAGGTGCATACATCAATAAATATTATGCTTTATTCTTCACAGATGATAAACCTTAAAGATCAGTTTACTGAGCACTCCACGCTGATACCAGCTGAGGGATAACTACCTTCTGAGGTCTGTGTGCTAGTGGCAGGATGTAATATATTAGCTGGACTAGAAATCAACATTCATTTTATCTCCCTTGTTCTGAAAGTCCCAGCTAGCCATCTGGAGTCTCTTATAAGTCTAAAGCAGGCTTACTAAGCAGAAAATGCTGTCATTGTATTATCTGGGATGATCGATTCTGACTGTTGGGCGAAAACAGAGTTGCATGGTAAGGACTGAAATGTGGGTATATTGTTGGCTCTGTGCTCTACTATTCCCAGAGGTAAAAGTCATTGAGAAACTCCTACAATCTCACCCGCTTGGATTTTCAGGGGCTCAAGCTCCTCATAATTTTGTGAAATGATGAATTCTGGTATGCATTGAGAGTGAGAAAAACCTGGAACCAGTGACAGACATAGAGGAAAGTCAAAGTCCCCAGGACTGACTGCGGAAGTGAGATCTGTAATGCCTACTCATAAGGAGTTGTGATCCACCTGTGGTGGCAATTACCAATATACTAACACATCTGTTTTCTTCCTCACCATTAGACATACAGTGTTTGATGATAGTTAAATTTACCACTAGTCCAAGTGATATAGAAAAGTAAAAACTGGTTCATAAATAAGTTATGATAAATTGGGTTTGCCTTCATGTTGGGAAGGGGATAAGAGTGTTAATAACTGCACACATTTCACCTGTGTAAAGAATTTGTCCAAGGCATATTTGAACATGTATGTTCAGGAAGAAGGATGTGTGTGAGAGATAGCAAGGTAGTAGAAAGATAGACATAATGTCAGCCTCAACCTCTCCTTTTAGCTACCTATTTCACGGTATATAATACACAAGCATAGGACTGAGTTAGGTAGAGAATATTTATTTTGGTTTCAACATTGCAGAGTTTGTGGTACATATAGAGCATCCAGTGAGAGATGGTAAATACAAAGTTGTATCAATGTGTCTGGAACTGAGAGGCTGAGGTTGGTGATATTGACTAGAAATCCTCAGTGTGTAAATACATCTACTTAAATTGATGAAATCGGCCAAAGACTGAGTAACATGAAAAGCACAACAGGATGCGTCTGGAAAACTAAACCGTAGAGGATTGCAAGAAATAAAGCTGTCCATATGATGTAGGGGCATTAATTAAAAATGATGTCACAGAAAAAAGAAATAATGTAGAAACAAGGAGAAAACTGTCTCAAGAAAGGGAGAGTGGAAATGCTGTCAGATCCTGTAGGGAGAACTATAAGAAAGTCACTGGTGAACTGGCGGGAGGAGTGGCAGCAGGATAGAAAGAGCGAGGCAACTGGCATAGGAAGTGAGAAAAGAAAACAAAGTATACATTTTCAATAAGTTAAGAGAATGAAACGGGAGAATGGCATCAGAAGCTGAAGGATAAAAGGAAAACATATTGAAGGTCATGATGTGATCCAGTTTCTGCTAGACTTGCAGAATTCTTATTGCCATAAAACAAATACCCTTGCTCCCAAATTGCTTGTAAAGTTGTGTTTATTTTTCAGATCTAGTCAACAAGAGAACAAAATTCCTCATAAAGAGAACCCATTGTTTTGAGCAAGATACAAATGTTTAGTTATTCTCACTCTTTAAATGATTATTTTTGTTCACTTGTAAAATAAATACCAGGCCTGTTAAAACTGGGAAGATGATATCAGCATTAACTGTACATGAAGGTCGTAGTTGGTTGACATATGTCTAAACAAGAGCAGGTAGTGATGTGCCTGTATTGGTAAGGGATTGTACTGCCATCAGGACAGTCAAGAACAATGTCTCGGAGTTCATAGTTTTCTTCTCGGCAGCAAAGGCATGAATGCTCCAAGAGTAAGATATCATAATTGTACCTAAAAGGAAAATAGGGTAATAAATATTTTTAGAATTTAAAAAATAAAGTGACATCAGTGCTCAAATTGTAATTGTCTAAGTGACTTAGCAAGCCTTCTAACCAATGTATTCTTTTCCTAGACCTTGCATTCCCCCGTCACTCTGAAGTTCTGATGTTGCTCAGTGATATTTGCTATGTAAGACCAAGAGAAATAAGAAATCTGAAATTATGATCTCATAATTGGAGCATTATGGTGAAAAGTAAGTAAAATTTTAAATATATAATGTAACATGAGATTATCTCTATATTAATCTATACAAAAAACTACTTAAAGAAAAGCATACTATCTAAATTCCAAGTTTAATTCAAGAAATTCACTTCCTTGCTTAAATATTTTTGTAGTCACTGTATGAAGATGAGTACATTTGCTACAAATGTATCATGGTTGGCATATTTAGAAGGCTACTTCAGAATGACTCATCACTATTTTAAGTGAATATTTTAATTCTCAGATCTTAATATCTTAGATTCTTCTTTCATTAGGTCCTGATAACCTTTCATGTGAGAGCAATACTATTTTGTTTTCTGTATGATGTTTTAAAAGATCCCTTTCCTCCACAAGGTTACAAAGTTAACACATGATACACATGCAAAGAACTCACTTGACAGTCTTTTCACATTCCCCTGTGCATTTTGCCATCTGAACTCTTTTCTTGCAACCACTGTAGATAACAGTCACATTTACAGGGGACGATCTGCAATTATTCTTACCTAAAACCAAATGGAAAAGAGAGTCAGAAATGAGGTTTAACAATAGCTAACCCTCCATTTTCTTAACCTATGAGTAACAGCAACTACTTCACAACATTATTGAGGAGATGAACTACCTCAGCACCCATTTACAAGGTAGCTGGTTAACATGCAGATTACTGGTATCTTGTTGTTCCTGTTATCACCATCTCACTATCACATGTGAAGGGGTTGAGGGGAAAAGAGGAAGGGAGAGAGGGCAAGAAAAAGGGGTGGGTGGATTATTTTTGGCTTCCATCAAAAAAAGGGGTGGATGAATTATTTTTGACATCCATTTTCCCATCACTGATTATCCTTATGATCTAATACGCTAGTTTACAATACAAGTTGCTGATGTCAAAAGAACAAGCTAATTTTTCCATGAAAATTTATTCCCTTGTAAACATCACTAGTTTTTACTGAGAAGAAGGTTGCAATCAACATGAATCCATAATCATAACACATTATGTACACATATCAAATGGAAGTTTATACATATAGGCTAGATTACCCATTGTGTTAAAAATACAACATACTTTCTCTTAATGATCTGCCATTTTGTTTTAAAGAAAGTAAACTTTTGTCAACAGCTTACATTTCCTCTCTATGCAGAACTTAACTTACATGTATAGCAACATTTTTTTGAATCATAGATTCTGTCTTCCTGTAGGGGGTAAGAAAAAAGAAGAAACAACTGGAAAACTTGTTCCAAATTTTTCTACAAATGATATAACATTTCTGAATTTGTTAAAATGCATCACAAAGAGAAAATGGAACAGATGGACAATCTTATCCCAGATCTAGTAAGCAAGGGCAGGAAAGGAGAGAGATCAGCTTAGTAATAAAAATGAGACTACCATTTTTCAACAATGGGAAAAGGAAAAATAAGCTTTAAATTCCTGTTAAAAATAACATTCAGTAATAGTAAATTATTTCTCATTTACTGAAAAATACTTTAACAACGATAGTACTAAAAGACAATAGAAACTCACAATTAGGAGCTGCACCCTTGAGAAACTGATTTAAAATTACAGCAAAGTAAAAGCATGATACATATTGAAATCCAGTATTAGAGCTCTAAAATAAAACTTTAAACCATATTATCAATTATATCTTGAGAAAGAAAAATAAGTTAAACCTCCCTTAATAATTGAAACTTATTAATATAAAACCTAGTAATATTTGGGGAACATAGAAATGAAGAAAACTGTGACACAAAGAAAGATCTGAAGAACCCAGACGTGATTATATAGAGATTGGGTATTTTTATAGACAACGATTTGGGCTATTTTTAAAAGTTAGTGGGTTTTTTAGTTTATAAATAGCAACATGCTTTCTATAATAACTTACTCCTTCTACACTAGCACTAAATTAAGTTTTATAAAGGCTGCAAGACATGAGAGCCTGTCTTGATATGAAAAAATATATATACTTAAAAATGAAAGGTGAACATATCTGGAATCATCTGGGCCCTGGATATAATGAATTTGTTTAAAAAGCTATACAATCTACAAGATATTTATGTCTGCTAGCCAAACATAAATAAGATGAATCTGGACTCATCTGGGCTCTGGACACAATGAATTTGTTTCAAGATCTATGCAGTCTACAAGATATTTATGTCCTTTAGCCAGACAAACGTTTCCATATAAAACAGAAGACAGGTTGGGTTTGTGTTTAATAGGAGAACTGAATCTCGGTGTTCATTAGTGAAGATGACTTACTTCTGCACACCAGGTCTGCTTTGGGCAGTCCTGGACTACTGCAGCAAAGCCAGTGTCTTTGCAGGAGTAGGAAACACAGGGGTTGGTGGGGTCATCAAATGAAGCACCAATCTGGGAGGAAACGAGGGGGAAGAAAACAAAGTAATTATTTCCCTTGATTTCTTTTTGAGGTTGGCAAGAATATCGGCTAAAAAATTCAAATTCATGTTTAGTGATTTTCCAGAGGCACTTTCAGTCATTAGGTTAGTAGTAAAGAAAAGATGGTTTTAAAGTCTTCCACTTCCATGAATAAACCAAATTTGTTCAATGAGAGCACAGAATGTGTCAAGATTGTCAATCCTCAAATTAAGATTTACCAAAAGGTAGTCTATTTTCAAGAAAGGTTCCTTTATAGTGATCAAGCAGTTAATCAATTAATTGTTATGCTCTAAGCTTAAAGGGAAACAAGAAATCTAAGTGGGGAAAAAAATGGCACGAAATAGGCTTATCAGGTTAAAACAAACAAGTCTCACAAGATTTCTTATTTCTGTCTTGGCCTGTATTCCTATAGTTTTAAAGCTCTCTGATATTACTTTATAATTATCTTATGTTCAATATTAAAACAGCAGTTTGAGAAACTGCATTTATTTCATGGCCTCAGACAAAATGAACTTTCTAATAAATTGGAATTTTACTACTAGAAATGATCAGACAAAACCTCCCTTTTGTTCCTTAAGTATTATCCTATTTTGTATTTAAAAACGATCACAGGTTCAAGTCAGATCAACTTTGGAAACTAAAAATTAAGAAGTCCAGGTGGAAATTCGAGTGTGATAAATGGGTTATCAACGTAAAACTCTCATCGGCTGTTTTATCTACTTCCTAATATACCACATGTATTTCATTTCAGATTTTTTAATGTTTACTATTGCCATTTCAAGTGTGTTAATATCAATTTGAGAATCATCTGGTTTTTATGGCTTCCTTATACTTTTTTTTCTAAAAAGTTAAATTTCTGACCAAAATGTCAAGTTAGTTGTCAAAATACAGCCTTGAATATATCATGTTGCTGTAGCTGCATAATAGGGTTCTAGCCCTTCGGGTTTTCTATTTGATCTCTGACAGCTTGACCATCTGATCTTTTTGGTTATAATTACAGTTTGACTCTGTTCATTGATTTGAATGTTACAAAGTATGTCTTCTCCATCTGGCAAGGCCCATGGGAAATTTTGTTCAGAAGTTATACTGCTGAGTAGTTAATGATCAAGCACTCTGTTTTCCTCCTTTGAAGAGTCATGGTGAGTGTTACATTTGATGTTCCTTTGGAAGTGAGTGGGGGGAAAAAATGAATGGATATTTATATATATAAATATATATATAAATTATATATATATTTATATATTATTCACACATGTTATTATATATATTTAGAAATATAAATTTATACATAATATAAAAATATTTATATTATGTATAAATTTATATTTATAAATATATTTCTAAATATATATAATAAATAACATATATATATGTGTATATAATATATATATAATAAGCTGAAGGTCTCTTGATGTAGCCTGGTATTCAATTTATCCATATAATTAACAAAAATATATTAATGAAGAAAAGCCCTTACCTCATAATCAGTATTGTTAAATAAACATGTTGTTGGTTCTGAAAAATAAAGACATCGTTTTATTCTAAAATACTATAATTTCTATTTATAAAACAGAAATTGTAGATGAGATCATACACAGCAACCAACTATAATGTTTCTCCCCATAATATCATAGTCCTTCTTCAATCTACTGATTATATTCATAACTGTTAATTCTGGTTGTCCCTCATTCTGAAGATGGTAAGTTTTAAGAATGCAAATATTATACTAATTCTGTTTTATTTATTATACCTGCCTAGCATTCTCTTTGACAAAATTGGAAACTCAAAAAGTACCTCTTGAATATACAAATAGACAATGAACATATTCAATTAAAATAATGCATTATGAATACACACCACAGTATCCGATTTCACAGCAGGTGTCATTAGATTTGAACTTCACAAGCTTCTCGCCGGTTTTGCATGTGGGTGGAGAAGGACACTCCTCAGGTTTACAGTCTATAGTCTTTGCATCTGTACAGGTACATCTGTGGCAATTGGCAGTCCATGTGTCTCCAGGCTACATATACAAACCATGTTTAGACTTCTATTCAAATACAGGAATGAGAGCAAATTTGAATTAAAGAAGAGCCAAACTCTGTACTTACAGATTTCTCTTCTCCCAGTGGACCATGGCAAACTGTTAACATAAATGATAAATGGTAATTAAATTTGGCAAAATATAACCATCTGTTATTTATACATAACCACCAGGTGGCCAGTACTGTAATTGGCATTAGGATCTCAGAGTCCCAGAATTACAGAGGATTTTATGGTGCCTTAAGGTGAATAAAACCACAACCACCTGCTTCAAGCAAACTGTTCCCAACAGGTATATCCTATGTTTACAATCCTCAGCAAAGGATAATTCTTAATTTCTCCTGGCAGTGGCCAATAAATCTCATGGCTATTAATTGACTTACCAGTCTGACTTTTGAAGTCTGACTTCTGCTTTTTCAATCCTACAAGTCACCATGACTGCGTAATTACCAGACCCAAGGGCCCTTTCTTAGTTTAAGTTCTCTGCCATAGTTGACATTGTTAATTCTTACCTTCTTGAAAAGTGTTCTTTCTTCAGATTTAATATTCTGAAATTTTTGTCTTTACTGTCAATTTGTCTTATTCCCTCTCATTTTGCCTCTAATTCTTCCCTCTATCTCCACAATGTGCACGGTAATATCAAATGAATGGCTCTAAAATGTCCAGCTCCAGTCCAGACCTCTCTCATGGCTTTGGAACCAGTTTTCTCTCTAGCTATAGACAGAATCCAGGCAGACCTACAGAAATCTGAAACTCAATGTGCATACAACAGATTGTATCTTTCCCTCAAAACTAGCTTGTCTTCTAGACTGATTTCCTTCTGCTAAGGCTAGAGCTATACTTTAAATCATTCAACCTTAAAATCTAGGAGCTATCTGATTTCTTCCTTCTATCACTGGCATCAAATCTACTGCCAAATCCTGTACCTTTATTCTTGCATTCATTTCTTTCTTTCCTTATTCTACTTGCTACAATGCTACTTTAAGGTCTTAGTAAATTTTTGATCTAGCATAATCTAGCTTTTTTTAAGGGGTTACTCTGACTCAGATCTCATTCTGATCCAATCAGGTAATGTAGTTTTTCCCTAAAGCCTAATTCTTACCTCATTATTACTTTGGTAGCCCCTTAAGTTGTATAAAATAAACACTTTATTCTAGCATTCTAGCTTTCAAGATCTCTCATATTGTGACTCAAACTCACCTTCTCAACTTTGTCTCACTTCTCTCATTTACATGCCCTGTACTAGTCTATATAGTGTTCTCAAATTCCAATACTGTAAAGACATTCCTGGGGATACCTTAAAATATACAATATAAGTGACATATGTTATGCACTCTCTGTATAATACATAGTTTATGTTTTTACGTGGAAATTTATTTTCTGCCTGATACAAACATTTCTTCTTTGAGAACCTTCTTTTTCCCACTAGGTACTAAGGTCAGAAAATTATTTTTTAGTATTTATTTTTTAATTACTGCAAAGCCTATCACATTGTCTTGAGAATGATAGGGACTTAAAGTTCTCTAAAATTACGTAACTCTAGCTAAACTGATTTTTTTTCTACTACAGTTCATCCTTCAAGCTGGAATTACCTAGTTTTAAAAAATGCTCACTATCAAGTGACAATATTTTGGTCAAGGTACCATAATTATATGAAACCTTTAGTAGGTAAACCTTGTTTTGATCTAAATAACAAGGCATATTTGTTTGGCTGGGCTTCATTGGTTTGCGAATGAGGAAATGAACTATTACTCAGCTTTTATTTGACAAATAAAAGCTAAGTGAATCTAATACAAGTTTTGCTATTTTATAACATTTCGGTTGCTAGTGACTTTTACAAGCCTGACCTCTGAAATTGGATTTACAAGAGAAGCCATTAATGCAGAATGATTCTGAAGTCATGGTATTCTTACCTGGAGCTGGTGGAAGTGATATTAGACATTCTGTATAAAAACAGGAACCTTAAATTAGTCTCTGAAGTTACTGAAATAGTACTGGCAACTGTAGTTATTTAATTCATTATTCTATTGCTGAAAATAATTGTCTACATAGCCAGTCTTACAAATAGATATGTTCCCATCTATCTCCCCATCCTTATCCTCGTTGCATTTGAAATTCCACTATACAGGGTGTTGCCTTTCGACCTCAACTTTTAATGAGAGAAAAGAATCAAAAGAAGAAAACATCAAGGTAAACTCTTCAAAAATGTTGTGGAAAGCAGTTCTAATGAATGGAACAATAGAAGAGGTTAAAAAAGGAAAAAAAGATAATTCTGATACAGGATAAAATGAGTATTATTAATTACCCAGTTTTAGTCATTTAAGAACTTTTATTCTCCTTCTTGAAATAGTTCAATTTGGCTCTATCTTCTACCCCAACAAATGCTTTAAACTGGTAACATATATCTTTTTTAGCCTTTACATATCACATATTTTGGTCTATCCAACAATTCACTCATAAATTTTAAGTTTTATTCCAAAACTTCTAAACACAAAATTGATATTTTATGCAACCTGGCCAGGCACAGTGGCTCATGCCTGTAATTGCAATACTTTGGGAGGCTGAGGTGGGCAGATCATTTGAAGCCAGGAGTTCGAGATCAGCTTGGCCAACATGGTAAAACCCCATCTATACAAAAAATACAAAAATTAGGCAGGCATGGTGGTGCTTGCCTGTAGTCCCAGCTATGAGGGAGGCTGAAGCAGGAGAATCTCTGGAACCCGAGAGGCAGAGCTTACAGTGAGCCGAGATTGTGTCACTGCACATTCTAGCCTGGGCAACAGAACTAGACTCTGTTTTTAAAAACTACCAAGAAAAAGGCTGACCTAGGAGCAATAGAATATTTGAAAAGAACTATAAATTTCTACAAGTTTAGGTAAAGTGACAACTAATAAGCCCAAAATATAGATTACAAAATGAATTAAAATATAGAAATTTGGGGGATCAAATGTCTCTAACTCTTTACGTTGGGAGGCTAAGCCAGGTCCTAATTATGAATGCTTTGTAAATTAACAGAAACAAGCAATAGGAGATAAAAAAAGATCAATTAGGAATAAATACAGGAGAAATATTCCCTGACCAGTACTGCAAGAGTCCATTGAAGATATTTGTAAGAGGAATCAGAGAGAACAGTCTCCTAATCAATACATTGGTATCCAAGTAATTTCTCAACTATCCGATCATGTCAGTCTCTTGATCAAATCCTTAAGGGTATCCCCATAAGGATAAAGCCTTGGTTAAGTTTGGTTCTTTATGAAGTTTCCTCTACTTACGTTTCCAATCTCATTTTCTCCCTGAACCTCATTCAGTCATTGCCAACATCTGGTTGATTCCTGGACTCACCCATGAGGTCTCACATCTTTCTTTTCAAGGGCTGTTTGGCAGGAATACCCTTCCCATCCATGCCAACTTTAAACTCAATCATCTCATTTCTGATGCCTTTACTCCACACTACTAATTAGTAAGCAGAAATTAACACTCTAATCTCACCCCACCCCCGGGACCACATTTTTTTTTTGTGCATATTTTTGAGTATCACTAAATATATGCTATCTGTGCCCAAAAGAATTTCTTCATCCCACACACACAAAATAAAAAATGGCAAGTGCTGCAGCTTACTGATGTTTTGCTTTTAATGTCTGCTAGAGAGTTTAGCACATATAAAGTACTAAAGAAATATTAGTTGAAATAGTAACAAAGAAATTAGGGCTCTTCCTGTACTGACCTGTTTTGTTTTCAGTTTCTTTGATTGTTACGACAGTGGTTTCTGAGAGGAAATAAAAGGATGGTATTGTGATTTTTAAAATTAGAATAACATACACATATCAAGTCTGTGTTTATGTACATGTCCAAATGATGGCACAAATTCATATTCAAGCTTTGTGTGGAACAGACAATGTATTCCAGTTCAATTGGATCATTTCATTTTACCTGGCTGGGATACTTGTTGTCTTGTTGTGACTCCAGCTGCAACCAAGGTGGAGCCTTGCAAAAAGGAAATTTAAGACATTTTACGACAAGCACCCTTCATAATTTCCTGCTCAGAATTTTCCATCTGCATGAAGAAGTCTTTAGGAGGGGAGCCCCAGTGAAAGGCTAAACCAAAAGCTCACAAAGGGGATAAAAATGGGTATCTCTAGTGGAATTTCAAAGCTGTATTCCAAGAGGAAGGTGAATGCTATCATCCTGGCCTCTGTCTTTCACTTCTCTCCTCCCCCTCTCCTCCTAACTCCACTTCTTATGTGTAATCAAAGTCACACCGATCACTTACCTGTTTGCACTCCAGTTCCAGAGGTTCCTTTTACTCCTGTGGAAGCTGTGACTGCTTAAAAAGGAACAAAAGTGGTGACTACAGGGGACTGGAGAAGCTAGAGCTCAACTTCATTTAAAAACAATTTTTTATTCTGCATGTTTTAGATGGACAGATGAAACTATGTATTTTGCACATGATGTTCTGAAGAATTACGTTATGCCACCCTCTTAGCATTTTTCAAAAATATATTAACTGTAGTCACGATGTTGTACAATAGATCTCTTGAACTTACTCCTCCTGTCTATCTGAAATTTTGTAACCTTTCACCAACATCTCCCCACCATACTCAGCCCCACATATACAATGACCCCAACCCCAGTAACCACCATTCTACTCTACTCCTGTGAGAACTGCAGATAAACTAACCTGTCTTCTGAGGTGCCACCGAGAAAAATTCATTTATTACTATTGCACTTACCAGTGGTAGGAGGTCCAGGAGCAGTGGTTGTGTCAGATGCTCCCTTGGAAGAAACTAAAATGAACAAAGGAAGAACAATAAACATTTTCTGGTCTCAGAGGAGCATTTACTTAAGACACCTCCACGTTGAACAAGAGTCTCAAAGCACTTGGAATATACTAACACATCTGCTAATGCTAGCTCACGCCCCCGCCATGGAAACACTAAGAACTTCCTATGGTAGCCATCCCTTGTTCACAGAAGATTCTCCTATGGCCCTGATACATTTTTCACTTCTGGGTGCCCTTTCTCTAAGTGATGAGAGCTTTTCTCACACTTAACTCTATACATTTTTCACTTCTGGCACCCCTTCTCTAAATGACTAAGTCAATAAAAACAAGCAATGAGGAAATGACTCCCTATTCAATAATTAGTGCTGGCATAACTGGCTAGCCATATGCAGGAGATTGAAGTTGTACCGTTTCCTTACACCATATACAAAAATCAACTCAAGATAGACTAAAGCCTTTCATTTTAAACCTAAAACTATGAAAACCCTGGAATATAGTGTAGGAAATACCATTTTGGATATAGGCCCTGGCAAAGATTTTATAACAAAGATGCCAAATTGCAACAAAACAAAATTGACAAATGGAACCTAATGCAACTAAAGAGCTTCTGCACAGCAAAAGAAACTATCAACAGGGTAAAGAGACAACCTACAGAATGGAAGAAAATACTTGCAAACTATGCATCTGGCAAAGGTGTAATACCCAGAATCTATAAGGAATATAAACAAATTAACCAGAAAAAAAAAATGGGCAAAGGACACAAACAGACATTTTCATAAGAAAGCATACACATCGCCAACAAGCATATGAAAAAATGCTTAACATTACTAATCATTAAAGAAGTGCAAATGAAAACCAAAATGAAATACCACATCACATCAGTCAGACTGGCTATTATGAAAAAATAAAAAATTTAAAAAAAATTTAAAAAAAACAGGTCCTGGCAAGGCTGCAGAAAAAAGGGAATGCTTATTCATTGTTGATGTGAATGTAAATTAATCCAGCCACCATGGAAAGCAGTCTGGAGGTTTCTCAAAGAACTTAGAACTACCAGTTGACCCAGCAATCTCATTAGTGGGTATCTATCCAAAAGAAAACAAATTGTTCTACCGAAAAGACACATGCACTTGAATTTTCATCACAGCATTATTCATAGTAGCAAAGACATGGAATCAACCTAGATGGCCATCAATGATGAACTGGATTTTTAAAATGTAGTATAAACACACCATGGAATATTATGCAAACATAAGAGAGAACAAAATTATGTTATTTGCAGCAACGCAGATGTGGCTGGAGGCCATTATCCTAAGTGAATTAATGCAGGAACACAAAAAATACTGCATGTTCTTACTTAGAAGTTAAACATTGGACTCATGGACATAAGGATTGCAACAATAGACACTGGGAACTACCAAAAAGGGGAAGAAGGAGAGGGGAGGGGTTGCAAAATTGACTACTGGGTACTCTGCTCAGTCCCTGGGTGATAGGATCATTCATACTCCAAACCCAAGCATCATGCAGTATACTCAGGACATGTAACAAACCTACACATGTACTCCCCAAATCTAAAATAAAAGTTGAAACAATTGAAAAAATAAAGGCTAGTGTATGGAAAAAATCAGTCTGAAGAGCAAGGGCCCAAGCTTGATTTACCTGACATAGTGTCTGTTCAAATGAAATACAAAATCCTATTTCAGCCCATCTTCCCATTCATTCATCACTACCACAAATTGAAGCAAAGAATTGTTGAGAACCCAAAGCAAACCACTGACCAGTTGCTCTTCCAACTCCAGTGGTGGCTCCAACATCTGTAAAAGCCGTAGCCTCTGAGAAGAAATAAGAGAAAGTGGTATAGAATGCAGACATTTGGAAAGATGTGTAGCAGTGTTACCTTATATAATATCTCTATGGGAGCCATCAGTCCCCAGCAGTTCAGGCAGGCAGGTTTCTCTAACTCTTTCATGACTTACTTGTGTTGGAACTCCCAGGTAAAATGGTTGTGCCAGTAGTTATCCCAGTGGTAACTGAAATCACAAGAGGAGAGAATCAATTTGTGAATTCCCTTTTATCTAAAATTAGGATTTGATTTAAAAAAATAGGTTTCTCAAGTGAACTAAAAGGTTGATATCAGGAACATTTTTGCTTTAAGTGATACATCATGCATGGTCTCATTATGTCATTAATTTGCAAGTTTTAAGTAAAGGAAAATTCACAGGGAGTAAACTGTTAATTTCCTGGTAATTTGTATTTAGTGACTGAGTAAAATATCCACCAAATTCATTATAGCCAATTTGATTTAATTTAAGATGAAAAAATAATTATTTGATTGCTAGTGCCCACCTATTTTACTTCCAGCCTCAGTGGTTCCACCATTGCCCAAAGAAGTTGTGGCCTCTAAGTAAAAGGAGAAAAAAATTAAGAAGAATCCTATAACTGAGAAAATCTGGTGGTATTCCCACGGCATGGTAGGGAGTGTGTATGTTTGGGGGGAGGGGCTCAGTCACATTCCTGACTGAAGCCCCTTATATTCCTATTAGGTTACCTGTATTGGAACTTCCAGATGCAACTGTTGTGCCAGAGACTATACCAGTGGTGCCTAAAGCAGGGAGAGAGAAAGAGAGAGCCCAAATGGTGATGCATTTACCATCCTAAGAAGAGCATGGCCAACAATAACTGTCTATGACTTGAAAGCAGCAGAAGACCTTTCTTGTGCTATCCTGTCATGATGAAGTGTGTCCTCCATTTTTAAATTCAGAGTCGCGGTAAACACATTAGTTCATAGTCCCGCCTTGATTATTTGCCTCCTTAGAGTTAAATGTCAGAGGTGTTTGGGTCTTTTTCATGCTGACCTATTTCACTTCCAGGGTTTTGTCTCTCAGATGTGCCACTGGTAGCTTCTAACAACAGGAAATGAAAACAATATTTCTGTAAAGGTATTCAACTGGGTTCAATAAACTTACAACATCTGAATTCCAAAATATGAGATATAAACCTCCGGAGTAACTTCTATATGCTACCTTCAATAGGGCTATATGGATTTATGTTGCCTTTGTATGTACCAGAGTATAGCTTGAATGTTAAAAAGGAAATCTTTCTGGAATCTGAGCCTCTTTTTCTATAATTAAAGTATAAGGTTTGGACCCAGGAGAAATAATGTGATTTTATAAATATAAGCTTTGTTTAACAAATATCTCTGAAAAGACAAAAGCCCAATGTAGATTTGTAGAAACTCAAGAGCTGCCAATGCTTTGGCCAGGTGTAGCGTCTCACGCCTCTTATTCCAGCACTTTGGGAGGCCAAGGCAGGCAGGTCACTTGAGGCCAGGGGTTCAAGACCAGCCTGGCCAACATGGTGAAAACCCATCTCTACTAAAAATTCCAAAAAAAAAAAAAAAGCTGGGTGCTGTGGTGGACACCTATAATCCCAGCTACTTGGGCTGAGGTAGGAGAATTGCTTAAACCCTAGAGGTGGAATTTGCTGTAGGTCAAGTTCACACCACTATACTCCAGCCTGGGCAACAGAGTGAGACTGGCACGAGAAAATACATATTTCTCATTTCTCATTATTTCTCTCATTCATATTCATATATATATATATATATATGGTTTCCAATTCCACTTTCATTGGTTATACTTCCTTCCATGGAAGTTAAAAAGAATAGAAAGAAAGAAATAGAATAAAAAGAAAGAAATTAGTGAGGGCTAACAGAAAATCATCAAAAGATATAATGTGTCATTGCTGCCGAGTTAGCCCCCCAACAAGGAAAAAAAAATAGCATCTGTTTCCTCATTGACTCCCCTGTGTTGGAACTGCTAGGTGACATGTTGTTGCCAGAGACCACTCCCGTAGTACCTAAAACAAAATGGAAGGGTACCACTATATCAAGTTTATTCTTATAATAAAGGCACATTCTAGAGTAGAATGAGGCAACTACAGAATCCTTCATTATAAAAAACGACCATTTTCAGGGATGGACTGTTCCAAAGTTACTTTGTGTGTTTGCAAATGTAATGCTCCATTCTCACTATAAATTTGATGGGGGAAGGGTGCAATGTGAGGTGGTGGTGGAGTCTCAACGAGAACATCTCTTTTTCTGGGCTGTCTGTCAGGAAAACAAAGGTACTTTACTTACCTAGTTGAGTGCTAGTGACTTGGCCACCTGATATCCCTAGAAGAAGGAACAAAGCAGGATTGAAATGAATTTTCATTTGGCTAAAACATTGGTGTTGTAGAAACTGTAGTGTTCTAGAAGAGTAGAGAGACATGACACATGAGTGAGTGGTGATTTAGCATCATGGTTCTGAGGATGGATTTTGAAGCCACAGTGCCTGAGTTGAAATCTGTTGTTTACTTGCAGTGTGATCTTCATTAAGTGAGTTAATATCTTTGAGCCACAGTCTGTGGAAAGTTCTCACAGATTTTCCAGATGAGAAAACAATCTATGTTCCTCATCTGGAAAGTCTGTGAGAACATCAGTGCTTACCTCACAATTTGGGATGAGAGATGGAAGAAATAATAATGACAAAAATGTGGACTAGTGCCTGGAACATAGTTCATACTGGAAACTGTTAGCTACTATCGCTATTATTTTAAGTGAAAAGTGGACAGGTTAAGAAGCTTGTGTGCTCAGCTGTATTCATTCCATGTCCTGTGGTCCCAGTGCCTCTAAAGGATGTTGTAGCTTCTAAGAGAGAAAAGGTAGGAAAATATGAGGTGAGAGGAATTAGAATTGTGAGTAAACTAAAGGAGGCACTCTTCATAATAACAGTGCCACGGGGGGCACTTTACTACTAAATCATTCTGTGGAGGACTCTCACCAGCCGGCAGGTTTAGGTGTGATGTCAGAAGCTACCCTAGGCTCGCTCTGTCACCCAGACTGTAGTGCAATGGCACCATCTCTCACTGCAACCTCCGCCTCCCTGGTCTAAGTGATCCTTTTGCTTCAGCCTCCTGAGTAGCTGGGATTACAGGCTCCTGCCACCACACTTGGTTAATTTTTTGTGTTTTTAGTAGAGAAGGGGTTTCACTATGTTGGCCAGGCTTGTCTCGAATTCCTGATCTCAGGTAATCCACCCACCTCGGCCTCCCACAGTGCTAGGATTACAGGGTTGAGCCACTGTGCCCGGCCTGTATTTTCTCATGCATAGTTTTATTCCCAAATCAAATAAAGATGCAAATGCCTCAACAGAGGACTCCATTTTTCTGGAATTCAATGGCAGTAAGACAAGCGGTCCACTTTGCTGCCATATTTACCTATTGTGCTTCCAGTTCCTTGGTTTGCTGATCCTCTAGTGGTAGCTCCTAAAAGGATAAACATAGAAAAACTTTTGAATATAAAGGTAGACTAGACTTATAGGAACAACGACTGTACATTTCAGTCCTTATTGTACTCAAGGAAAAACAGATTGTTTGAGGCAAATCTTCTGTGTGCATTTTGGCCTTCTGTTGAATTGAAATAGGACTCTCTGAGCCAGTAGTTCCTTCTTCTGATATACCTAAAATGGAGATATCTAAAATGGAAAAAGAAACTTTTCATATAATTATCACTTTCACTGTCATTTGCAGAGACTCTTATATGTGAGGCTTGGCCCTGGGAATGGAAGGATATCTGCCCAAGCTCATTCAAAATCAAGTAGCAAAACACTGATCCTGGATGAGAGTTCCTCGAAAGCTCCTCCTTGTAAAACTACCCTTTAAGAAGCAAAGTATAATTGTAATTTATTATCACTCAAAAGTCATGCATGCATGCACACACACAGTACACACCATTAATTCTCACCTGTTTTCCATCCCACTACAGTGGTTCTACTGACTCCCGTGGAAGTTATGGCTTCTGGAAGAAAAAGAGAAGCAACGAGTAAAGAATGAGGATTCAGAAGGACGGGGAAATATACTGTGATGCTCTTATACAAGAAGAGCAATGTGAAGGACATTTTTGCCATCTTATTTCTAGACAGGGGGTTTCTTCTCAGCTTCTTAGCCTACCTGCGCTGGAACTTCCTGGTGCAATAGTTGTGCTCAAGGCCACACCAGTGGTGCCTGAAACGAGAAGGCCCTGGTGTCATCATGAAGAATCTTTTGCATGGAGACGACTTAGGTATAAAACAAATCTGTATTTCCGGGGCACTATCACTCATACTGTGCACTGGCCAGCTCTGGGAGGCACCATCCACGTAGACTGCTTTGTCTATGTGGCTGTCCTATGAGCATGTTCTTCCATTGGCCCTTTTGCTCCTGGATTGAATTACACATCTTTCCTATGTTTTAATTATTTCATTCATTCAATAAATATTTATTGAGCCCTGTTTAGTAATAGGGATCAGTTTAGTACTAGGGATCGGCTGACCTGCTTAGTACTAGGCATCAGCTTCTTTTTTCTCATGAAGCCTATCTTCTAGTAGGCTTACTTAACACATATAATGTAAAACCCTCAAATGTGAGACAAAAGAACATCTTTAACATATTTGCCTGTTTTACTTCCAGTGACTTGATTGTCTGATGCGTCAGAGATGGTTCCTGATGATTGAAAGTAGGAAAAAAGATTCTGTTTTGACCTGTAAACAATCACTGAGGCAACCATTCAGCAACTTAATATTTAAAGCTCAAAATGGAAAGCAAACAATTTCTGAGTTCATTTTAGTCATCTGTTCACCTGAGTCAGAACCTTCTGGGCCAATCTGGACTCCTGCTGATTTTGTAGTACTACCTATAATATCCACTAAGTTAATTGTCCAGGGAATTACTGCTCCTACTTCCCTCTCCAGAAATTTATGTCCTAAGGCAAGGCACTGCAAAAGGCTGGTTCAGAAGTCAACTCAGGGGTATGGATGGAAGGACTGGCGCCCCCCATAAAATAATCTTTCAGATCCCGAGGCAAACTCATGACACTGCTCAATGGCTGTGCTAATCTCTGACACCCCTAGTTCTCACTGATTTCACAACAGTGACTCTGATGGCTTCTAAGGAAGCTTTGGTCTCTGGAAGAGGAAATGTAGCAGAAAGTATATTTAGGGTTACATATTCCTCCTTGAAGTTAAACAAGAGATGACCGCCATTGAAAATATTCACTTACCTATAACAGAACTTCCAGGTTCAACAGTTGTGTGAGAGATGATGCTGCTGGCACCTGGAATCACTAAGAGGAAGAAACTTATGTCATTTTCTTTACATTAACAGAAGGGCTAAGAAGAAAATCATTATATGTTTTTTGTTAACTCAGATGGCCTATTCCAGAATTCCTCATATACCTTTCAACAAGGATACTTCATTCCAAAAAAAGAAGAAGAAGAAAAAAAAAAAAGCAAATGCTAAGCTCTCACATTGGAAGTCTCCTTATTCTTGAATACTGGTAAATATCAGGAAGATATTCATACTTTCCCATGCTCACCCGTTTGACTGCTGGACAGTTGGCTCCCCGGTGCAGTGGTCATGGATCCTGTAGAAGAGAAAAGAGCATATTCTGCTGTCTATAAATGTAAAAAATTGGGTAAAACACTATTATTCTGAAATTTGGGGGCTTGGACAAATATTTCCATAGGAAATTACTTTGTATTTATTTCAATCAGTTTGAATTGTTAGAAATATTTCACAAACTTCCCATTTTTACCTGGGACTGTTACTGCTTCAGTGATTCCAGAGAAAGTTGTAGCCTCTGAGAAAAAGGGGGAAAAGAGCAGCAGTGAGGGCAAAGATAGAAGAATCTGAGAAAAGCATGGTAGGATCACCCAGGCAGACACCCCACTGAGGAGCCCTTTCCAAACAGTGGTTCCTCCCAGCCTGGTGCTTTACCTGAGCTGGAGCTCCCAGGGGCCACTGTTGTAGCAGAGGGCACTCCAGCTGTGCCTAGGCAGGAAAGAAAAGAAAAAGATCAACAGAGCAACACATTTGTAACCTTTAGAAGAATGTGGCCAGCATCAAGTCTACCTGGGACCTTGGAGCAGCAAAAGAAACTTCCTGGATCTATAACTGACAGGAGGTGGCATTTTCTATGTTTACCATGTGCCTTTGTAAGGCCAAGGTTAATGTAGTGGCTAATGTGTCTGCTCTGATTATGTTTGCCAAGATTGAAGGTCATATCAAAGGCTTTCTCCAAGTTTACCTGTCTTACTTTCTGGTGCTCCAGCAGTGGCTCCTAACGAAAAGGAAAAGAGAAAGGAAGAAGGAGGAGGTGGTGGAAGAGGAAAAAAAAAGAAAAAGAAGAAAGGAAATTTTGAATTTTTACCCCTCAACTAAAATGTGACATCGTAATGATTTCTATGCCAAATACAAGTCAGTACTGTAATGTTATACATACTGAGTTATTTTCAAAGTAAAAAGCCTTTCAGAGGCAGAGCTACTGTAACTCTTCTCTCTAGAGGCTTCAAACCCTGAGGCTAGTCCTAGAGAAGAATAAGGCTTTTGGAAATTTGGGCTCAAGATGTTCCAAATCTGAAAGGAAATCCTGGTTCCTTTGAAATAGCTTCAAAAGGAAATGAAAAACTCTACTGCACATTAAAGAGATTCTTTACATAATCTATGCAAACTTTCTATATTTCAAAATTATTCCAAAATAAAAATATCATCAAAAAATGTTTCTTCTAACAAATCTATCAAAATACAACAGTAAATAATGAAACCCCCATAATCTTCACATAATTTTATTTCTGCTCTGGTGGTGCTACTTCCTCCTAGGAAAGCTGTGGTCTCTTAAAGATGGAAAGAAAACCAAAATTAATTGAGTGTTAAGGAAAAGGGATGAGCTAAGCTGATGTCATTACAAGAGAAAAACCCAATTCAAACTGTCTTGCCACCTACTAAGTTAGAAAAGAAACTTTTCTGACTGTAAAAGTGATGTACATAAGTTTATTTTTTTAATGGGGAATAAAAGGATTTTTACCCATACAGTTCTGAATTAGACTTTAGGTAGTTCTTAACTGGAATAAGTCATATAAACTTCTTAATAAAAATGTTTATAGCAGGAGCTTATCAGTGATAGATATGCTCACTCCTATTATCATCATTTTCATTGATTTAAGTATCAGAATTTTCATGTGCAAGAATTTCGCCAGAGGGAGTGGGGCAGTCTCAGGGCTGGCCACAAATTGCCTTTGCTTGGATGTCCCCTCTTCAAAAAAAAAAAAAAAAATTGCCACCAGCTACCACAGTGGAACTTGGAATTAGAGAGTGACAGGAATCAATATCTTTATTCTTTACCCAAAGTAAGAAATAAAATGGCTGAGAATGAAGGTGAGGAAACTGTGTTTTCTCAAAGTGGCAAAAAACTCTTGTTTTTATATGTTTCTGGAACCAGGAGTTGAATCTATATACGTTTTCCATGCACCATTTCTATCTCAGAAAATTTAATGACAAAAATTGTACTATCTTTATTTCTTCCTTTATATAGCAATGAAAGAAAGAAAGACATTTCTCTCCAATCACCAACTGATTATCTGTGACTTAGCTCCATGGTGAAGTATCCCTGAAGCAGAGGAAAGGAAGATAAAGGAATCTGAGTATCACATGTGGTTATTAGTAAAATCCTGCCAATCTGATAATGCTTGTTCTGAAGATACTCTTCACAGGAAGTACAAACATTAGGTGTGATTCAGGAGATGTGGTCTACTGGGAAGCAGGAAGTGCTTCATCAGGGCTTACCTGCAGTGGGTCCAGTGCCAGTCACTCCACTTGCTCCAGGAGAAGTTGTAGCTGCTGAGAGAGCAGAAAAAAAAATAGAAAAAATTCTGGGATTTAAAAAGGAAATGGTGCGGCTTTTGCATAGAAGCAGTAAAAGGGAAGACATATTATTGTAGAAAGCAGCCAAGAAATGGCTATGTGGCAAATCGTGGACTCACCTGTGCTGAAACTTCCAGGGGCAACTATTGTGCCAGGTGCCACAGAGGTGCCTGAAACACAAAGGGATTGGGGTGACCATGCTGAGTAAGTCAAAGGAAGACCTAAATCTAAAAGGAATATACTATGTTTATTTTCCATAAAAGAAGTCATTTTCCCTGAAAGGCAGTTGGTGAACTAGATGCATCTGCCTGCTTTCAATGCTTCACAACTAGAGCAGATAGAGACAGCATCCTCAGCTTCAGGCACTTCTAGAGTTTGATAAAAGGGAAACTAGACAGGTTCCCCCAGTGCTCACCTGCTTGCTTTCCTGGAGCTGTAGTGATGCCTGCTGTGAGACAGAAAGGAGGGGGAAATGTTTTAAATGTGCTGAAACCATCAGATGTAGGAGAAGATAAAGAGCAAGAAAATGTGTAAGCATGCGCACGTATATAAATGCATGCATCCTGAGTCCATGGGGCTCTTTTGCATCTCACACACTCTCATGGAAAACTTTCTGAATTCCACCTCAAATGCTAGTGACAGTTGTAATACAAGTGGAGAAATTCCATTCCATCCTCAGACATAAAGCTGTAAGTCTCCATTCTAGAATTATTAGATTTCAAAAAAAAAATGTATCTCCACCAGCAAAACTATTTTGAATCTCTTGCAGCATCCCTAAATAAAACACAAACTGTTTCAAGGAAAGCTTAAGAGACCTAATACTTAGGGGTTGTTTCTTCTCACCAGTTTTGAATTCAGTTCCATAAGTACCAGTCTCTTCAATGGAAGTTGTAGTCTCTGAGGGAAGAAACAGAGTGGTGAAGTCTGTGAATATGGAATACTGGGAGAGGATACTGGGTTGGTATTTTATCATAGCAGCTCTAAAAGACATAGCATGACATTTGACATTAAGTAAGACACATTTCCTTCTTGTTAGGCTACCTGTGTTAGAACTTCCAGATATAATGGTCGTTCTAGAAGATTCTCCAGTGATACCTGAAATTGAAAAAAAGGGAAATGGAATAATAGAGCATTGTCTCCCCAATTAAGCTTGGAAGCATCAACATGGCAGCCCTAAAGACTGGAAGCCCTTTCCTGGAAGGGAAGTGGGGGCAATCTCAGGGCAGCCCACAAATTGCCTTTGCTTGGATGTTGCCTCTTCAAAAAAAAAAAAAAAATAGCAGCTACCACATTGGAACTTGGAGAGTGAGAGGAATCAATATCTGTATTCTTTATCCAATATATATATATATGAACAACTTCCTGGCACTTCATTTTCCAGGCCAACCAGAGATGAATGTGTTGCTACTGGGTTTCTCTTTCACTATGACACAAGGGTAGAGTAGAGTTTAAATCACCCTAACCTGTTTCCCTTCTAGGAGCATATCCCTCTGGTGGGACAGAGGTGCCTACAGAGGAAACAAAGCATACTTTTATCTTTATAAGTAGAATTCTTTGATACAACTTGGGGCATTTAATAATCAATTGTCTTCATGAAGCTTTCTGGTGAGGGGAGAGGGGAAACAAACATCTTGTAAAAGTAAATGAGAAACAAAGTGTCAAGCTGCGGGTGGAAAAGTAAACTGGGAAAATGAGGACAGGAAGATCTGGAAGGCTGGGATACATGCAATAGACTCTTAAGCCTCCTATCAGAAAAAAATGTCTCCATAAGCCAGGATACCGTAGACAATCTGGCTGAGCCATCTGAGGTCATGGAATCATAAGCAGAATCACTGGTCAGGTGGATATGACATAATATGGCCCCAGAAAAAATCCCTCTCCCTCAAAACCCATCATAGGCTGCAGTAGTTCACTGCAGCCACCCAGATAGAGAGATGAGAGACTCAGGCCTCAGCCTAACAAGCTTACCTCCTGGTGGGCCTGCTCGGGTGGTCCCGCTGCCTCCTGAGGAAGTCGTGGCTCCTGAGAGAGAAAGGAATTGGAGGTATAATGACTACACATGACATTCTGTGGCCCTCAGAGAATAGACTGCTCAATGGGTCATTATTGGCATTCCTGACCTGTGTGGGCACCTCCAGCTTCCAGAGTTTTTCCAGAGATGCCCTCAGTAATACCTGAAATAAGAAAAGTTTGTGTGGTCGGTTGGTCAGTTTGTGGTCCTTAATGATATGAGAATAAGCTCTTAAAGGACAAAGAAAAAAAAATATTTGCATCCATATACTAAAAATTTATTTTTCTGGGTTTTGTATTTTAAGAAGTTAATCCATATATTGTCCATGGAACATACAGTTTCCTTGGCAAGTTTACAAAAATCACAACTGAGGCCCCTTTTTAATGTTTAGATACAAGGAGATAGTTACAGAGGTGACTTCGGCCTAAATCTATCAGGGAATGGATCCCATGATGACCTGATGAAGTGTCTTTAGGCCCAAGGCACAGATAAAAGGAGGAAAAGTTGAAGTTTATGAACTGTACTTAATGATGTTAAATGTTGAACATCTGCTGAATTTGTACTTAATATGCCAGATATGGGAAATTCAAGGAGTTTTGCTATATTTCTAGCAAGACATGAGAAGCTATTACAAAGTACCCTTAGTTCCTTAGGAGAGAGCTCACCTGTGACTATTTCAGCACTTGTGATTCCACTTTCTCCTACAGAGGTTGTGGTCTCTGCAAAAGAGGAAAAAAGAATAGCAGTGAGGGCAAAGATTAGAAGAATCCGAGAAAAGCATGGTAGGATCACCCAGGCAGGCACCCCATTGAGGAGCCCTTTTTAAGCAGTGGTTCCTCCCAGTCTGGTGCTTTACCTGAGTTGGAGCTCCCAGGGGCGACTGTTGTAGCAGAGGGCACTCCAGCTGTGCCTAGGCAGGAAAAAAAGAGAAAGATGGCAACTTTACTGTAACCCTTAGAAGAAGGTGGTGAGCAACATGCCTGTCTTTGACTTTGGGGCAGGAAAATACACTTCCTGGACCTATGGAGGACAGGCAAATTTTGTGTTTTCTGGCTGCCTTTGCAAGGCCAGGGATAATATTCCTGCCCTGATAATTTATTTTTGCCAGTGGTGAAGGTCATAAAAAAGGCATTTCCAAATTCTACCTGTCTTACTTCCTGGTGCTCCAGTGGTGACTCCTAATGAAAAGAAAATGAGAGAAGAAGAAGAAGTATGAGAAAGAAAGAAAGAGAAAATTTTGAATTTTTATATCTGAAGTAAAGTATGACAACCTAATGATTTCTATGCTGAATGCTAGTCAATACTATGATGATACACAGACTATGCTCTTCTCAAAGGGAAATAATTTCAGAGCCAAAGCTATTGCAGCTCTCCTCTCCAGAGGCCTAAAACCCTTAAGTTAGTCTCTGAGAAAGGAAAGCCTTCAGGAAATTTGGGCCCACATGTTTACAAATCCAAATCCAAGAAAAAACTGTTTTTCCTGAAGTATTAAATTTTTAAAAGAAATTTAAAACTACACTCCATGTTAAAGTGATTCTTTAAAGGATCATCAATACAGATTTTCTGTAGCTTAAAAACTCATTGTTAAAAAAGTTCCTCTAAGAAATCTATCAAAACACAATGATAAATAATGAATACTGCAAAATATTTACCTGGTTTTATTTCAGTTCTCGTGGTACCAATTCCACCTAGGGAAGTTGTGGTCTCTTAAATATGGAAAGAAAACCAAAATTAATTGAGTATTAAGGAAGAGGATGAGCTAAGTGGATGTAAAGGCTAGCGATAAGCCCAATTCAAAATGTCTTGTCACCTACTATTAACTCAGAAGAGAAATCCTTCAGACTGTAAACATGATGGAAACCTTCAATATCCAAGTTTAATTGTTAAAATGGGGAGAAAAAACATTTTCAAATCATATTGTTCTTAATTGAAATTTAAGTGTTTCTTAATTATAATAAGTTATATAGACTTAATTTCAAAAGGTATACAGTCAGAACTCATAAATGATTGATATGCTTATTGTTATTACCATCCTTATTTATTGCTTCAACTATTAGACTTTTCACATGCAAGAATTTTGCCAGTGGCTAAATTAGAAAGTGATAGGAATAAATATCTAAATTCTTTACCCATAATGAGGAATTAGAAAGTGATAGGAATCAATATCTGAATTCTTTACCCATAATGAGAATGAACATGTCGTATCATGAAGGTATAGGAATTGTGTTTTCTCAATGTGCCAATAAGCTCTTTTCAGAGGTTTCTAGGATCAGGATTTAACATATATATGTTTTCCATGCGCCATTTCTGTCTCAGAAAATTTAATGACAAAACTTTCAATGCCTCAATTATTTCCTTTAGATATCAATGAGAGAAACAAAAACCATTTCTCTCCAACCACACAACTGATTCTCAGTGTCTTAGCTTCATGGTGAAGTCTCCTTGGAATAGAAGAAAGAAAAATAAAGGAATTTGAGTGTTGAGCCTTTAGTCATTTAGGTAATATCCTGCCTATCTGGTAATCTATGTTCACAAGACTCTTTACAGGAAGTACGAATACAACATGTGATTCAGGCAATGTCGTCTACTGGAAAGGAGGTAGTGGATTTTCAGTGCTTACTTAAAGTGGTGCTAAGCCCAGCCATTCCACTTGCTCCAGGAGAAGTTGTTGCTGCTGGGAGAGGAAGGACATGAATGGAAAAGATTCAGGGGGCAGGGAATGGAATGAAATGGTGGTGCTTCTGCACTGAAACACCCAAAGGCAAACACCATGAAAGGATTCCCCACCACACTGTGGACTCACCTGTGCTGAAACGTCCCAGAGCAACTGTTGTGCCAGGTGCCACCCCAGAGGTGCCTGTAATGCAAAGGGATTGAGGGGACCATACTGATTCAGTAAGTCAAATGAAGACCCAAATCTTAACGGAATATGCTGTATTTATGTATTTATTTATTTCCTATAACATAAATCTCTCTCTGAGCATGAGGCAGATGGTGAACTATATGTATTTGCCTTCTTTCAAAAATTAATAACCAAAGCTCATAGAAAATGTTCCCAACTTCAAGCACAACTACTAATTTCATAAAAGGGAAACTTGATGCATTTTCTCGATGCTCACCTGCTTGTCTCCCTGGGGTTGAAGTGATGCCTACTGTGAGGTAGATAAGAAGAGAGAAAAAAGGTTTAAATGTGTTGAAACTTCAGATGTGGGAGAAAATATTGGGAAAGCCAATTGTAAGATACATACATACATATGCATGCATGCACCCTGGTTCCATGGGGCTCTTTCGTACTTCAAGCACATTTGCATGTGTATACCCAGAAAACTTTCTGTCTTCCAGCTCAAATGCTGGTGATAATAGTAACACAATGGAGAAATCCCATCCCATCCTCAGCCTCAATGAAGGGAGGCTCAATTTTGGAATTTGTAGTCTTTCAAGAAATATTTCTCCCTAATGACAAATCTATATTTAGTCACTTGCAGTGTCTCTATAAAAACCACAAACACCATCAAAAAAGTTAAGAGACCTAATCTAGATGACCCCAAATTATGGGCTTTTTAGTCTCACCAGTAGTAGTTCTGGAAGTACCAGTCTCTTCAGTGGAAACTGTGGGCTCTGAGGAAAGACATAAAGTAGGGAAGTCCATGAACATGGAATACTGAGAGGAGGTATTGGGGTGTTATCATAGCAACCCTAAAAGAGGTATCATGACATCTGACAGTAAATATGAGGCACTTTCTTCTTGTTAAGCTATGTGTGTTAGACCTTCCAGATACAGGGCCGGGCGCGGTGGCTCACGCCTGTAATCCCGGCACTGTGGGAGGCCGAGGGGTGGATCACGAGGTCAAGAGATCAAGACCATCCTGGTCAACATGGTGAAACCCCGTCTCTACTAAAACTACAAAAAATTAGCTGGACATGGTGGCGTGTGCCTGTAATCCCAGCTACTCAGGAGGCTGAGGCAGGAGAATTGCCTGAACCCAGGAGACGGAGGTTGCGGTGAGCCGAGATCGCGCCATTGCACTCGAGCCTAGGTAGACAACCTTGTCTACTAGGAAGCAGTTAGTAGTGCATCAGTGCTTACCTGCAGCGGGTCCAGCCCCAGTCATTCTGCTTGCTCCAGGAGAAGTTGTGGCTACTAGGAGAGGAAGGATATAAATGAAAAAGATTCAGGGATCTAGGGGTGGAATGGTGGTGCTTCTGCATAGAAGCACCAAAGGAAAGACATTTTTGTATCAGGCACCCAGGAAAGAATTCTGTGTAATTAGTAAAGAAACTGTGGACTGACCTGTGTTGAAACTTCCAGGGGCAACTGTTGTGCCAGGAGCCACCCCAGAGGTGCCCGAAACACATTATATCTCTTTTAGAGTCAGGTCTTCATTCGACTTACTGACCATTGTGATTCAGTAAGTCAAGTGAAGACCTGACTGTAAAATGGATATAATGCATTTCTTTGCTATAACTGAAATCTCTTTTTCTGAGCTTGTGGCAGAGGGTGAACTACTTGTATTTGCTTGCATTCAACAATTGGTAACAAAAGCAAACAGAGAAAAATACTGTTTGCAATTTCAAGTGCTTCTCCTGGAAATTTAATGAAAGGGAAACTGGATGCAATTCCCTAGTGCTGACAGACTTGTTCCCCTGGCACTGCAGTGATGCCTGCTGTGAGAGAGAAAGAGGGGGAAATAAGGTTTAAATGTGCTGCAAGCTAGATGCAGGACGAAATATTGACAAGGCAGTTTTATCCATATACAGATACACACATATGCATGCATGCATCTGGTTCCATGGGCTTTTTTTCTATTTCACACACATACACTCACACACACACACACAAGGAAAACATTCTGAATTCCAGCTCCAATTCTTTTGATAGGTGTAACACTGCTGGAGACATCTCAACCCATTCTCAGAACTGTAGCAGTGAGGCTCAATTCTAGAATTAGTAGACTTGCAAAAAATGTATTTCTGATAGTAAATCCATTTTTAATTACTTGCAGTGTACCTAAATAAAATGTAAACACTCTTAAGGAAAGCTTGATTCCTATCTTGATGATCCAAAATCATAGACTCTTTATTCTCACCAGTTTTGAATCCAGTTCCAGAAGTACCAGTCGCTTTTGTGGCAGTCGTGGCCTCTGAGGAAAAAGAAATGGGTGCATAGTGACATCTGGGAATTTGGAATACTGCAGAGGATATTGGGGTATTATTTTATAATAGCAGCCCTAAAAGAGATATCATGAAATCTGACACTAAATAAAAGGCATTCCCTTCTTATTAAGCTACCTGTGTTAGAACTTCCAGATACAATGGTCATTCCAGTCAATTCTCCAGTGGTACCTAAAATGCAAAAAAAAAAAAAAAAAAAAAAAGGAAAATGGAGCAATAGATTATTATCTCCCCAGTTAAGCTTGGAAGCATCAATGTGCAGCTCTAAAGCACTGGAAGCCCTTTTCTGAAGACACTGTATCCCTGCAGAGAATGGAAAATGAACAACCTCTGAGCACATGATTTTCCAGGCCAACCTGGGCGGTGTCTGATGCTACTGGGTTTCCCTTTCTCTATGAGGCAAGGGGAGAATAGGGCTTAAATCACCCTCGCCTGTTTCCCTTCCAGAAACATATCCTCCTGACAGAGGTGCCTATAGGAGAAACAAAGCACAGTTCTATATTTATAAGTAGGACTCTTTGATACAACATGAGACACTTTAACAAAGTTGTTCTCATGAAGTGTTGTAGGAGGGGAGAGAGGACACAAACATCATGTGTAAGTAAAGGAGAAAAATGACAGAAAGTGTCTCAAACTGTGGGTGGAAAGGAAAACCGGGTAAGGAGAATTGGAAGTCCTGGAAAGTTGTAATATATACAAGATACTCTCATACTTTGTATCAGAAAACACTGTCTCCATAAGCCAGGACACTGAAGACATGTGAGGTCACTAATTCACAACCAGAATAACTGACCAGGTTGATCTGACACACTATGGGCACAGAGAAAATGAAGGACCTTCCTTCAAATGACTTCACATTATTGTTCTCTGCAGCCACCCAGGTAGAGAGATGATAAGAGCCCCAAGCCTCAGCCTGACAAGCTCACCTCCAGGTGGTCCTGCTTGGGTGTTCCCGCTGCCTCCTGGGAAAGTTGTGGCCTCTGAGAGAGAAAGGAATTGGAGGTATAAAGACTGGACAGGACACTCGGGGTTTCCCAAAGCTGATACCGCCTAAGGGGCCATGTTCAGAATTCCCGACCTGTGTAGGCACTTCCAGGTTCCTGAAATTTGCCAGAGATGCCCTCAGTAGTACCTGAAATAAGAAAGGTGTTCAGCTGGTCAGTTTTTTGCCTCTCATGAAATGAGCATGGGCTCTTAAAGAAAAGATAATAACTTTATTTCTTGAATATAGCAGTAAATTTATTTCTCTGGACTTTGTAGTTTAAGAGTTCATTCATATATTGCTCGTGGAACATATAATTCCATCAGCAAGTTTACATAGAAAGTCCTCCACCACTGAAGCCCTTTTTTCAGGGTTTAGTTGCAGAGAGATAGATTCAGGCCAAGCCACCTTTATAACTGCAAGGGAATAAATGGGTCCCATGCCAGCCTGAAGAAGCCTTTGACACAGCAAACAAGACACAAGAGGGAATGTTAACGTGTTGGAACGGTATCTATCGATGTTAAATATTGAATTTATGCTAAATATATTTTTAATATGCCAAATGGTGGAAAGAGTTTTGCTATATTTAGCTGAGCTCACCTGTGATTATTTGAGCTCTTGTTTTTCCATTTTCTCCTACAGAAGTTGCAGCTTCTGCAAATGAGGGGAAAGGAATAACACTGAGGGCAAAGATTTCAAGAATCCACGAGTAAGGTTTGATCACCCAGGCAGACACCCCACTGAGGAGCCCTTCCAAAGCAGTGGTTCCTACCAGCCCGGTGCTTTACCTGAGTTGGAGCTCCCAGGGGCAACTGTTGTAGCAGAGGGCACTCCAGATGTACCTACATGGGAAAAAAGAGAAAGATCAACATGGCAACAATTTTGCAATCCCTAGAAGAATGTTGGCAACAAGTTTGTCTGTGACTTTGAAGCAGCAAATGATACTGTATGGACTTATAACAGAAAGTTATATGTGTTGCATGTCTACCATTTACCTTTGCAAAGCCAAAGTTAACACCATGGCTAATATTCCTGCCAATCTTTGCCAAGATTAAAGGTCGTATCAAAGGCTTTTTCCATATTTACCAGTTTTACTTCGTAGTGCTCCAGTAGTGGCTTCTAATGAAAAGAAAAAGAAGGAAGAAGAGAAGGAGGAAGAGGAAGATAAGAGGAGTAGGAAGAGGAGAAGGAAGAGGTAGAGCAGGAGATAAAGGAGCCAGAGAAGAAGAAGCAAGAGGAAGAGGCAGAGGAGAGGACGAGGAAGAGGAGGAGGAGAAAGAGGAGAAGGAAGACGAAGAAAAGGATGAAGAAGATAGAAAAGGAAGGAAAAGGATGAGGTAGAGAAGAAGAAAGGAACAAGAGGAAAGACAGAGAAACAGGAAGAAAAGAAGAGGAGGAGAAGGAATAGGTGAAGACGGAGAAGAAGAAAGATTTATAATTTTTTCTTTGAACTAAAATGTGATATGTTAATGAGTTCTATGCTGAATAGAAGTCAGTACTGTAATGTTATACAGACTAAACCCTTTTCACAGGAAGAGCCATTTCAGAGCCAGAGCTATTATATGTGCTCTTCCAAGAGGCCTAGAACCCAGGGATTAGTCCCTGAGAAGGGACTTCAGGAAATTTGGGGCCAAGTGGTTCCAAATCCAAAAAGTATTGCTGGTTTCCCTGAAATACCATATCCCCAAAGAATATAAAAACTCCATTCCACATGAAAGGGATTCTTTGGTTTATCTTTGCAAATTTTATGTAATATTTCAAAATAAAAGGCTTTAAAAAAACACCTGTTTTCTCTAAGAAATCCATGAACTTGGAATCAAACTACAACAATGAATAATGAAAATATCCAAATCTTCACCTGATTTTATTTCTGCTCCGGTAGTACCACTTTCTCCTAGGGAAGTTGTGGTCTCTTAAAGATGGAGAAAAAACCAAAATTATTTCAATACGAAGGAAGAGGGATAAGTAAGCTGACTAGACTACATGAAACAAAATACAATTCAAAATCTCTTATCACCTACTAGTCAGAACAGAAGCCCTTCCCCATGTAAAAGTGTTTATCTTCAATACGCAAGTTTAATTGTCCATTTTTAACTCACGGATCTTCTTCTGACCTTAGATAGTTGCAATGATAATAAGGTATGTAAAAGTCATATACAATATGTATATATCAAGGAAATCATAGATGATCGATGTGCTCATTACTATTATCATCATTATTTATTGCTTTAAGTATTAGACTTTTCATGAGTAAAAATTTTGCCAATGACTACCATGTTAGAACATGCAATTAGAAATAGAAATCAATATCTTAGTTCTTTACCCATAATGAGAAAGAGAATGGCCTTGGATGGGATAAGAAAACTACGCATTTCCTCAATGTGTCAACAAGCTGTGTTCAAAGGTTTGTTGAAACAGGAGTTAATCTATATCTTTTCTACACATCATTTGTATCTCATGGAATATTTAATGACTAAAATATCAATAACTCAATTACTTCATTTAAATATCAATAATAGAAAAAAAAACATTTATCTTTGATCTCCTAACTGATTCTCAGTGCCTTGGCTTCATAGTGAAGTCTCCCTGAAGCAGAGGAAAGGAAGGTTAAAAAATTTGAGTGTCTGGCCTTTAATTATTAGGGAAAATCCTGCCTGTGTGACAATCTTTCTTCAGAAAATGCTCTTCACAGGGAGTACAAACAGTAGATGCAATTCAGGCAATGCTGTCTACTGGGAGGCAGGTAGTGGTTCCTCAGTGCTTACCTGAGGTGGGTTCAGCCCCCGTCATTCTACTTGCTCCAGAAGATGTTGTGGCTACTGAGAGAGGAAGGACATAAATGGAAAAGATTCAGGGACTTGAAATGGAAACATGGCACTTCTGCATAAAAGCACCAAAAGGAAAGGCATACTATCATAGCAAGCACCCATGAAATGATTCCCCACCACACTGTGGACTCGCCTGTACGGAAACTTCCAGGAGCAACTGTTGTGGCAGGAGACACCCAAGAGGTGCCTGAAACAGAAAGAGACTGAGGTGATCATGGTGAATGAGTAAATCAAACGAAGAACTGGCTCTAAAAGGAATATGCTCTATGTATGTATATATTTATTTATTTATATGCCACCATAGAAAGCTCTCTCTGAGCTCAAGGCAGATGGTGAGCTATATGTATCTGCCTGCTTGCAACAATTCAAACCAAAGCACATAGAAAATGTTTCCAACATCAGGCACACCTGGAAATTTGATAAAAGTAAAACTAGATGCATTTCCCCAATGCTCACCTGCTTGTTTCCCTGGGGCTGAAGTGATGCCTGCTGTGAGGTAGAAAGAGGAGGGAAAAAAGGTTTAAATGTATTGAAACTTGAGATGTAGGAGAAAATACTGAGCTATCATTTTTGTTCACATATACACTTGTAAATGCATGTGCCCTGGGTCCATGGGGCTCTTTTCTGTTTCACATACACACAGAAAACTTTCTGAATTCCACCTAAACTGCTAGCAATAGTTGTAACACAAATGGAGAAATTCCATTCCATTCTCAGAAATGGAGCAGTAATGCTCCATTTTAGAATTAGTAGATTTACAAAAAATGTATCTCCACCAGCAAATCTATTTTGAATCACTTGCAATGTCCCTAAATAAAACAAACACAAATTCTCTCAGGACAAGCTTGGGAGACCTAATACTTATGACACCAAATCATGGGTTGTCTCTTCTCACCAGTTTTGAATCCAGTTCCAGAAGAACCTGTCCCTTCTACGGAAGTGGTGGTCTCTGATGGAAGAAATAGGAGAATGAAAAATGCTGGAAATTTAAAATACTGGAAGAAGATATTGGGGTATTACTTTATCATAGAAGCCATAAAAGAAAAATGACACCTGACATTAAATAAGAAGCATTTATTTCTTTTTAAGCTACCTATGTTAGAACTTCTAGATATAATGGTCATTCCAGGCAATTCTCCGGTGGTAACTAAAATGCCGAAAAAAAAAAAAAAAAAAGAGAAAAGAATGAAGCAATAGAGCATTTTGCCTCCAATTAAGCTTGGAAGCATCAATGCATCCCTGAAGCACTAGAATCTGTTTCCTGTGCCCACTTTATTTCTATAGAGAATGGAAAATGAACACCTAGAGATGCATAGGCTGATGCTGGGATTCTCTTCCACTATGAGGCAAGGGAAGAACAGGGCTTTAAATCACCTTGACCTGTTTCCTTTCCAGGAACATAGTCCTCTCGTGTAACAGAGGTAACTACAGGAAACATTATATTTATAAGTAAGACTGTCTGATACAACTTGGGATATTTTAATAGTCAATTGCCTTCATGAAGCTTTCTAATAAGAGGAGAGAGGAAATAAACATTCTGTGTAAGTATATGAGAAAAATGATAAAAAGTATCAAACTGTCAGTGGAAAGGCTGAGTAAGGGGAATAGGAAGTCCTGGAACATTGGAATATATGAAATATTTTCTAATACCTTTAATTAGAAAAAATAACGTCTCCATAAGCTAGAATAGTGCAGACAGCTTGGCTGACAATCCAAGTAATGAAATTTACAAGTCCAATAACTGACCAGGTTGATAGGACACAGTACGGCCAAGGAGAAAATGCCATCCCTTCCTTCAAATGCTTTCACATTATTTGTTCCCTGTAGCCACCCATATAGAGAAATGATGAGAGCCCCAGGTCTCAGCCTGACAAGCTCACCTCCGGGTAGTCCTGCTTGAGGGGTCCCGCTGCCTCCAGAGAAAGTTGTGGCCTCTGAGAGAGAAAAGAATTAGAGGTATGAAGACTGTACAGGACATTCTAGGGCCCCATAATCTATATTAGCCAAGGGGCCACATTCAGAATGTCTGATGTGTATGGTCACTTCCATCTTTTGGAGTTCTGCCAGAGATTCCCTGAGTAGCAAAGAGGAAAGAATCATGGATATTTGGTCAACCCGTTGCCCCTTATGATACAAGCATAGACTCTTAAAGAAAAAAAATGTATATTTTTTTCTTCAATAAAACAGAAAATTTATTTCTCTGCAGTTTCTATTTTTAAGAGTAAATCCATATATTATTCATAGAACCTATAATTCCCTCAGCAAGTTTACAGAGAAGGTCCTCTGCCACCCTGTTTCATTGTTAAGGTTTGGGTAGAGAAAGTTAGATTTGGGCCCAAGTCCCCTATATAGCTGTTGGGGAATGGACCCCATGATACCCTAATGAAGGGATTGATTTTAGAGCCAAAAGAAAAAAGAAGAAAATGTTGACATTTCTGACCTATATTTATTGATGTTAAAATTTGAACATCTGCTACATTTTTGCCTAATATGCCAAAAATTCAAAAACTTTTGTCATATTTCTAGCAAGATGTGGGAAATTATAACAAAGTACACTTAGTTCCTTAACTAGGCTCACCTGTGATTATTTCCGTTCTTGTTATTCCACCTTCTCTCAAAGAAGTTGTGGCCTCTGCAAAAGAGGGAAAAAGAACAGCAGTGAGGGAAAAGATTAGAAGAATCTGAGAAAAGCATGGTAGGATCACCCAGGCAGACACCCCATTGAGAAGCCCTTTCCAAGCAGTGGTTCCTACCAGCCTGGTGCTTTACCTGAGTTGGAGCTCCCAGGGGCAACTGTTGTAGCAGAGGGCACTCCAGCTGTGCCTAGGCAGGAAAGAAAAGAGAAGGATTGAGATGGGAACTCTTTTGTGACCCTTGGAAAAATGTGGCCAACAGTATGTCTATTTGTGACTTTGAAGCCAGAAAGCACACTTCCTGGCTTATAACTGACATGAAGACAAACACGTTTCAGGTTTATTGTGTGCCTTTGCAAAGCCAAGGTTAATGCAGTGGCTAATATTCCTACCCTAATTATTATGAACAATATTTGGTCACAGTGGAAGGTCATATGAAAGGCTTTCCCCAAGTTTACCTGTCCTACTTTCTGGTGCTGTAGTGGTGGTTCCTAATGAAAAGCAAAAGAGAGAAGGAGAAGAAAGAAGAGGAGAAAACAAGAAAAAATAAGAAGAAAGACAAGTTTGAATTTTTATCTCTAAACTAAAATATGACTTCTTAGTGATTTCTAATGTTATACAGACTATGCCCTTTTCAAAGGAAAATCCTTTTCAAAGCCAGAGCTATTATTGCAAGACTCCTCTCTAGAGACTTAGGACCCTGATGTTAGTCTCTCAGAAAGGAAAGACTTTAGAAATTTTGGGCTCAAGAGTTTACAAATCCAAATCCACGAGCAAACTCTGTTTCCTTGATATATTATAGCCTCAAAGGAAATTTAAACCCACACTCCACATTGAAGGAATTCTCTGCATTATCTGTGATAATTTTCTGTAATTTAAATTTATTTCCAAATTAAAAGCTCATTAGAAATAATCCTCTAAGAAATCTAGCAAAATACAACAATAAATATAAATACCCTAAAGTCTTTAGTCTTTACCTGATTTTATTTCTGCTGCAGTGGTGCCACTTCCTCCCAGGGAAGCTGTGGTCTCTTAAAGATGAAAAGAAAACCAAAATTAACCGAGTACTAAGAAAAATGGATGAGGTAAGTTTATGTCATTACATGAGATAACTCCAATTAAAAATGTCTTGATACTATTAAGTCAGAAAATAAGTACTTCTGACTTTAAAAGTAATGAAAACCATAAATACACAAGTTTAATTGTTAAAATCAGGAGACACCACATTTGTAAATTTATTTTCTTAATTGGACCTTAGATATTTCCCTTTTTTTTTTTTGTTTCTTCTTTCTTTTTTTATTTTTGGACCTTAGACATTTCTTAATTGGAATAAGACATGTAAATCTCTGATTAAAATAGTGGATACAGTGAGGAACTCACAAATGATCAACATGGTCATTACTATTATTATCAGTATTTATTGCTTTAAGTATTAGACTTTGCATATGTAACAATTTTGCCAGTTGGAACTTGGAATCAGAGAGGTGTCGGAATCAATATTTTTATTCTTTACACATAATGAAAAGAAAATAGCCTTTGATGGGATAAGATTAATCTGTGTTGTCTTAATGTGTCAAAAAACACTTTTCAGTGCTTTCTAGAATGAGAAGTTAATCTGTATGTTATTCATGCACCATTTCTATAGATTAGCTAATGAGAAAAATTTTAATAACTATTATTTCCTTTATATATCACTGAGGGAAAGAACGACATTTCTCTCCAATCACACAACTGATTCTCAGTGCCTTAGCTCCACAATGAAGTCTTCTTGAAGCAAAGGTAAGGAAAATAAAGGCATTTGAGTGCCCAATCTTTACACATTAGGTAGAATATTGCCTATTTGGATTTTTTTTTAAATGTCCTTCACTGGAAGGACAAAGAGTAGATGTGATTGAGGCAACGTGACCTACTGGGAAGGAGGTAGTTCTTACTTGTAGTTGTTGTAACCCCAGTTATTCCACTTGCTCCAGGAGACGCTGTGGCTGCTGGGAGAAGGACACAAATGGAAAAGGTTCAGGGGATATGAAATGGAATGGTGGCATTCCTGCATAGAAGCACCAAAAGGAAAGGCATGTTACTGCAGCGAGCACCCATGAAAGGACTCCCCACCACACAGTGGACTCACCTGTGCTGAAACTTCCACGGGCAACTGTTGTGGCAGGAGCTACTGCAGAGGTTCCTGAAAACAAAGAGACTAAGATGATCATAGTGAATGAGTAAGTCAAAGGAAGACCCAAATCTAAAAGGGATGTGCCGTATTTATGTATTAAATTGCCATAACAGAATCCTCTTTCTCTGAGCCTGAGGCAGGTGGAAAACTCAATGTATTTGCCTGCTTTCAACAATTCATAACAAAAAGATACAGAGAGACAAGTTTCCAAGTACAAGCACAACTGAAAATTTGATAAAAGTGAAACTAGATGCATTTTCCCAAGGCTCACCTGCTTGCTTCCCTGTTGCTGCAGTGATGCCTGCTGTGAGATAGAAAAAGGAGGAAAAATAGTTGAAATACTTTGAAATTTCACATATAGAGAAAGTATTGAACCAGCATGTTCGTTCACATATACACTTTAAATGTATGTGTACTGGTTCCATGGGGCTCTTTTCTGTTTCACATAAAAGCACTGAAAATTTTCTGAATGCCACCTAAACTGCTAGTGACAGTTGTAACATAAATGGAGAAATTACATTCCATCCTCAGAAATGAAGCAGTAATGATCCATTTAAGAATTAGTGAATTTTCAAAAAAAAAATACATATATATACCTAAACCAGCAAATCCATTTTGAATCACGTGCAATGTAGCTTAATAAAACAAACACAAACTCTCTCAAGAAAAGCTTGAGAGACCTAACACTTATGATGCCAAATCATGGACTGTTTCTTCTCACCGACTTTGAATCCAGTTCCAGAAGTGCCAGTCCCTTCTGTGGAAGTGGTGGCCTCTGATGGAAGAAAGAGGAGAATGAAAAAAGCTGGGAATTTAGAATACTGGAAGAGGATATTGGGGTTTTACCTTATCAAAGAAGCCCTTTAAAAAATCATGGTATCTGACATTAAATAAGAGTCATTTCTTGTTAAGCTACCTGTGTTAGAACTTCCGGATATAATGGTCATTCCAGACAATTCTCCAATGGTAACTAAAATGCAAAAAAAAGAAAAAAAAAGGAAATAAACCAATAGAGCATTTTATTTCCAATTAAGTCTGAAGGCATCAATGTAGCCCTAAACACTGGAAGACCTCTCCTCTAGACACTCTATTTCTACTGAGAGTGGAAAACGAACAACTTCCTAGCACTTCATTTTCCAGGCTAACATGGGATGGATGTGTTGTTGCTGAGATTACTTTTCACTATGAGGCAAGAGAAAAATAGGGCTTAAATCAACCCGACCTGTTTCCCTCCCAGGAATATATCTCCCTAGTGAGACACAGGTGCCTACAAGAGGAAAAAAAATCACTGTTTTCTACTTATAAAGTAGGATTGTTTGAGTCAATCATTTGTTTTCATGAAGCTTTCCAGTGAAGGGAGAGAGGAAGTAAACACCATGTAAAAATGATCAAAAGTATCAAGCTATGAGTGGAAAGGTAACCTGGGTAAGGGGAATAGGAAGTCCTGGAAGGTTAAAATATATGAAATATTTTTTTAATATCTTTTACCAGAAAAAGATAATGTCTCCACAAGCTAGAATGGTGCACACAGCCTGGCTGACAATACAAGGTGATGAAATTCAAGAGCAAAATAACTGGCCAGGTTGACAGGACACAATATGATCAAGGAGAAAATGCAGGCCCTTCCTTCAAATGCCTTCACTGTTTGTTCCCTGTAGCCACCTAATAGGGAGATGATGAGAGCCTCAGGCCTGAGCGTGACAAGCTCACCTCCAGGTGGTCCTGCTCGGGTGGTCCCGCTGCCTCCTGGGAAAGTTGTGGCCTCTGAGAGAGAAAGGAATTGGAGGTATGAAGGCTGCACTGGACATTCTGGGACCCCATAAGCTGTATTGCCCAAAGGGCCCCGTTCAGAATGCCTGACCTGTGTGGGCACTTTTAGCTTCCAGAGTTCTGCCAGAGATGCCCTGAGTAGTACCTGAAAAAAGAAAGGAATGTGGTCAGATGGTCAAATTGTTGCTCCTCATGATATGGGCATAGGCTCTTAAGGAAAAAAAAATATTTTGTTTAATACAACAGAAAATTTACTTCTCTGGAGTTCTATTTTTCAGAGTTGATCCATATATTTTCCATAGAATATATAACTCCTTCAGCAAGTTTGCAGAGAAAGTCATCTGCCACCTAGTTTTATTTTTAGAATTTAGGTACAGAAAGATAGATTTGGGCCAAAGTCACCTGTGTAACTGTCAGGGAATAGTCCCCATGATGCCCTAATGAAGGATTCTTAGATCCAATGCAAAAGACATTAGGGGGAAATGTTGAAGTGTCTGACCTATATTTATTGATATTAGATATTGAACATCTGCTACATTTTTGCCTAATATGCCAAATGTGGAAAATTCAAGAACTTTTGCCAGATTTCTATCAAGACATGGTAAATTATAACAAAGTATACTTAGTTTCCTAACAGAACTCACCTGTGATTATTTCAGCTTTTGTTATTCCATTTTTTCCTACAGAAGTTGTGACGTCTACAAAACAGGGAAAAGAATAGCAGTGAGGGAAAAGATTAGAAGAATCTGAGAAAAGCATGGTAGGATCACCAAGGCAGACACCGCATTGAGGAGCCCTTTCCAATCAGTGCTTCCTCCCAGCCTGGTGCTTTACCCGAGCTGGAGCTCCCAGGGGCCACTGTTGTGTCAGAGGGCACTCCAGCTGTGCCTTCAGGAAAATAAAAAAAAGATCGACATGGGGACTCTTTAGTGACCTTTAGAAAAATGTGGCCAACAGTAGGTCTATTTGTGACTTTGAGGCAAGAAAACACACTTCCTGAAGTTCTAACTGACATGAGGACAAACATGTGTTCAGGTTTATTGTGTTTCCTTGCAAAGCCAAGGTTAATGCAGTGGGCAATACGCCTGCTCTCATGATGATTATTATTGTGCCAGTGTTGAAGGTGCTATGACAGGCTTTCCCAAGTTTACCTGTCCTACTTCCTGGTGCTCCAGTGGTGGCTCCACATGAAAAGAGATTAGGAGAAGAAGGGGAGAAGGAAAGAAGAAGAAAGAAGATATTAAATTTTTATCTATGAACAAGACACTAATGCTATGCAGACTATGCTCTTTTCAAAGGGAAAACCATTCCAAAGCCAGAGCCACTATTGCTACCCTCCTCTCCAGAGATTTATAACCCTGCGGTTAGTCTCTCAAAGGAAGAGACTTTAAGAACTTTGGACTCAGCAGTTTACAAATTCAAATCCAAAGAGAAACTCTGTTTCCTTGAAATATTATAGCCTCAAAGGAAACTTAAAACCATGCTCCAAATTAAAGGGATTCTCTAAAATATCTATGATAATTTTCTGTAATTTAAATTTATTTTCAAACTAAAAGCTCATTTAAAAAATTTCTTCTAAGAAATCTATCAAAACACAACAATATATATAAATACCCTCAAGGTCTTTACCTGATTTTATTTCTGCTCCAGTGGTGCCACTTCCTCCTAGGGAAGTTGTGGTCTCTTAAAGATGAAAAGAAAACCAAAATTAATTGAGTATTAAGAAAGAGGGATGAGCTAAGGATGTAATCATGTCATTATATGAAATAATCCCAATTCAAAATGTCTTGACACTTTCCATTAAGTCAGAAAATAAGTACTTCTGACTTTAAAAGTAATAAAAAACATAAATATATAAGATTAATGTTAAAACTGGGAGATATATCATTTGTGTATTTATTTTCTTAACTGGACCTTGGCATTTCTTTTTTTTTTTTTTTTTTGAGACAGAGTTTCGCTCTTGTTACCCAGGCTGGAGTGCAATGGTGCGATCTCGGCTCACCGCAACCTCCGCCTCCTGGGTTCAGGCAATTCTCCTGCCTCAGCCTCCCGAGTAGCCGGGACTACAGGCACGCACCACCATGCCCAGCTAATGTTTTGTATTTTTAGTAGAGACGGGGTTTCACCATGTTGACCAGGATGGTCTTGATCTCTTGACCTCGTGATCCACCCGCCTCGGCCTCCCAAAGTGCTGGGATTACAGGCGTGAGCCACCGCGCCCGGCCGGACCTTGGCATTTCTTAATTGGAATAAGATATATAAACCTCTAATTTAAAAAGTGGATATAGTTAAGGAACTCATAAATGATCAATATGCTCATTACCATAATTATTTATTGCTTTAAGTATTAGACTTCTCATGTGTAAAAGTTCTGCCACTGGCTACCACATTGGAACATACATTGATAGAAATCACTATTTTTATTCTTGACACATAATGAAAACGGCCTTTGATGGGATGAGGGAACTCTGGGTTGTTAATGTGTCAACAAGCTCTCTCAAAGGTTTCTAGACCAGGAGTTAATCTGTATGTTTTTCATGTACCATTTCTATAGAATATTTAATGAGAATAATTTTAATATCTATTATTTCCTTTATATATCACTGAGGGAAAGAAAGACAAATTCTCTCCAATACACAACTGATTAGCATTGCCTTAGCTCCGTGGTGATATGTCCTTGAAGCAGAGGAAAGGAATATAAAGGCATTTGAGTGTCTGACCTTTACATATTAGGTGAAATCTTGCCTATTTAGAATAGTGATTTTTTTTTTCAACAAAAATGCCCTTCACAGGAAGTACAGATGGTAGATGTGTTTGAGGCAAGTTGATCTACTGGGAAGGAGGTAGTGGACTGTCAGTTCTTACTTGTAGTTGTTGTAAACCCAGTCATTCCACTTGCTCCAGGAGATGCTGTGGCTGCTGGGAGAAGGAGGAAAAAATGGAAAAGATTCAGGGGACATGAAATGGAATAGTGGCATTTCTGCACAGAAGCACTACATAGAAGGAAAGGCATGTTACCGTAGCGAGCACCCATGAAAGGACTCCCCACCACACAGTGGACTCACCTGTGCTGAAACTTCCAGGGGCAACTGTTGTGGCAGAAGCTACTGCAGAGGTTCCTGAAAACAAAGAGACTGAGGTGACCATAGTGAAGGAGTAAGTCAAATGAGGACCCAAATCTAAAAGGGATATGCTCTATTTATGTATTTATTTGCTGTAACAGAAATCTCTTTCTCTGAGCACAAGGAAGGTGGACGACTAGATGTATTTCCTGCTTTTAACAGTTCATAACAAAAAGAGATAGACAATGTTTCCAAGTACAAACACAACAGAAAATCTGACAAAAATGCAACTAGATGCATTTCCCAGTGCTCACCTGCATGCTTCCCTGACGCTGCAGTGATGCTTGCTGTGAGATAGAAAGACGGGGGAAGAAAGGTTTAAATGTGTTGAAATTTCAAATATAGGAGAAAATATTGGGCAAGTCAATTGTTAGATACACATGTATGCATGCATGCACCCTGGTTCCATGAGGCTCTTTTCTACTTCACACACATTCACACAGAAAACTTTCTGGTTTCCAGCTCAGGTACTAGTGAGAGTTTTAACACAATGGAGAAATCCCATCCCATCCTCAACTTGATGAAAGGAGGCTCAATTCTAGGATTGGTCATTTTTCTAAATAAATAAACAAATAAATAACAGCAATCCTATTTTGAATTACTTGCAGTGTCTCTAAATGAAACACAAACTCTCTCAAGGAAAGCTTGAGAGTACTAATCCTTATGAGGCCAAAGTATGGGCAGTTTATTGTCAACAGTTTTGAGTTCAGTTCCAGAAGTACCACACCCTACCATGGAAGTTGTGGCTTCTGAGGAAAAAAAAAAAACACAATAATAAAATCTGAAAATTTGGAAAACTAGAGGGGATTTGGGTGTTATTTTCTTGCAGCAGTCCTAAAAGAGATACCGTGACATGTGACATTAAATAAGAGGTATTTCCATCTCGTTAACCTACCTGTGGTGGAACTTTCAGATATAATGGTTGTTCCAGATAATCCTCCAGTGGTACCTAAAATGCATAAAAGGAAAATGGAACTATAGAGTATTTTCCCCCCAGCTAAGCTTGGAAGCATCAGTGTGGCCCTAAAGCACTGGAAGTCCATTCCCAAGGACACTATTTATATAGAATAAAAGATGAACAGCTGCTTTGCTCTGGGTTTTTCAGGCCAACATGGGATAGACATGTGGCTACTGTGTTTCCCTTTCACTGCAAGGCAAGGGGAGTGCAGGGCTTTAAATCACCCTGACCTGTTTCCCTTCCAGAGACGTAGACCCCTGCTGTGACAGAAGTGCCTACAGAAGAAATAAAGCATGGTTTTATCTTTATAAGTAGAATATCTGATACAACTTGGGGGCATTTTAATAATCAGTTGACTTCATGAAGCTTCCTAGTGAGGGGATACAGGAAATAAGCATTGTATATGAGAAAAATGATAGAAAATGTCAAGCTGAATAAAAAGGAATAAGATCATGTCCTTTGCAGGGACATGGATGGAGCTGGAGGCCATTATCTTCAGCAAACTAACACAGGAACAGAAAACCAAATGCTACATGTTCTTAGCAATGAGATCACATGGACACAGGGAGGGGAACATCACACACGGGGGCCTGTCAGGAGTGGAGATGGTATGGGAAGCAACTTAGAGGATGGGTCAATAGGTGCAGCAAACCACCATGGCACATGTATACCTATGTAACAAACCTGCACATATCCTGGCACTTAAAGTAAAATAAAAAGGAAAGAAGAAAAGAAAATGTCAAGCTGTGGGTGGAAAGGTAAACCAGCTAAGGAAGACCGGAAGTCCTGGAGGGTTGGAATACGTGCAATCTACTTTCAATCCTCATATCAAACAAAAATGTCTCCCTAAGCCAGGATACTGAAGATAGTTTGCCTAAGACATCTGAGGTCATGGAATTTATAAACAGAGTAACTTCCCAGACTGTTACGACATAATATGGCCTCAGAGAATGCTGACTCCTCCTCTAATGCTTTCATATTATTTGTTCACTGCAGCCACCAAGACTGAGAGATGACGAGAGGAAAAGTTGAAAGGCCTGTACTGTATTTACTGGTGTCAAATATTGGACATCTGTTAGATTTTCCTTAATATGCCAAATCTGGGAAATGCAAAAAGTATTTCCATATTTCAGGCCAGATTCTTGGGACGTTTTTAGGAATAGTTAGTACATTAACAGAGCTCACCTTTCATTATTTCAACTTTTGTTGTTCCTCTTTCTCCTACAGAAGTTGTGGCCTCTGAGAAAGAGGAAAACAGGACAGGAGTGATGAAGATATTTCAAGACTGTGGAAAACTTAAAATAGCTCCATACCCAGGACAGCACTGGAGGATAATTTATCATAGATGGACTCCTCAAGGAATCTGCCACCTCAGTGACTCACCTGTGTTGGAACTGCCAGGGGCAACAGTTGTGCCAGGAGCTACCCCAGTGGTGGCTGAAACACAAAGGATCTGAGATCATCACAGTGACTCGTGTTTGTCTTCTGAAGACCTGCCTCCACAAGGAATCTGGGTGTATCTTTGTTATATCAAAGAGCCCTTTCACTGCTTCCTGAGGAACTGAGAATCATGCCTTTGCTATGGCCTATATCACTAAAAAAGCAAGAGGAACAGTAATGTGCCCAAATTGAGGACCCTCCACTGAATTCCATACATTCACTCCCATACAAGGAAACAGGGTGGCTTTCCCTCTTCTTCACCTGTCAGGCTCCCAGTTGCTTGGCCTCCTGATGCTGGAGTGGTACCTACCATGGAATGAAAACCAGAAATATGTTTTAATGTGCCAATAACACTGGAAAATATTTAATATCATTATTGCTTTTTTTGAGTGAGAAAACCTTGATATAGAATATGCCTGCTTCCAGAATTAATATAAATTTCTTTCCAGAAATACAATTTTTTTCAGCTCCCCCTACACCATAGTAGTATATATGACTTTGCAGGAGAAATCTCTTAAGCTGACTGCACCACCAGCCCATCATTAGAAATTTACAGCTATGGGGCTAGATGTGGGTATGGGGCTAGAGTTTTCCAAAATATATTCAGTGTAAGAAAATACTGGAAGTAAATGCAAACCAGTACCCAGGAAAACACACTCCCAACAGGTGAGCCTACGGAGAGTCATAATTTATGGTAAACCCTAAGCTGTGCTCTGCTCATTCTTACCTGGGCTGGATCCAGACGGAGGAACGCTGCGGCCTTCTGTTAAAGTTGTGGCCTCTGACAGAGAAAGTATTGAATAGTGAGGTCAGAATTTGAAATATTGAGAAAAGAATGAGGTTACTGTTTCATCAAAGCAGCTCTAATAACTATGACGTTAAACATGGAGATTTCCTCCTTATTATCCTACCTGTGTGGGAAGTTCTAGATATAGCAGTTGTCCCAGAGAATTCAGTAACTAAAACTAGAAAAAGAAAAGAATCAACATGGCATTACCTCCTAAATCAGTTGTGGAAGTAGCTACGTGGCTTTAACCCACTGAAAGAACTTTCCTGAAAGCCTCTGTTTTGTAAGGAAATGAACCGTAAGTGACTACCCCTTCATGTCCTGGCCCACCTATCCATCATTCCTATCCATCACTGTTACTCCTGGGGTTCCCTCTCCATAGAGCACAATGGATGTGGATGGGAACCTTAATTCCTCCTCACCTGTTTCACTTTCAGATGCTGAGCTCTCTGGTGTGACAGAGGTGCCTTTAGGAGAAAAAGAGCAGATGGCAGATTCATCTTCCTGAATTTTACCCATCAATTACCTGAGGCATTTTGATACTGAGAATTTGAAAATAGAGCTCGTTAACGAATCCTTGCATTTGAGGACTGTATTTAGTCCTTCCTACCTGGCCTGGAGCTCTGTGAACTACTGCTGAGGCCAGGTGAAACCACAGTTGGACCTGTTAAAGCAAGTAGAGTGAAAAAATCTTCAAATAATACATTTCACCTTTCAACTAAGCTTTATTAAATATCTCTTCCATGCAATACTTTTTTAGGCCCTTGGGATGTATCAGTGAGCAAAATGTTGAAAGATTTCTCTCCTAATGCACCTTACATTCTAGTAGCTGGAAGCCAGCAATGATAATAAATGTAATAAATAAGTCAGTGTAAAAGATGTTAGTAAACACTCTGGGAAAAAGGCAAATTGTATTTAGGATCAGGGACCCTGATCAGCCGGGTGTATCCCACAGCTTGCCTTCATCCCTGCTACATAATTACTAGCTCTGAAAGTCTGGGCTCCTGGAAATCCAGAGGGATAAGTCAGGTGAGGCCAGGGAATTCCTGGGCACATCCAGGTTTTTGATCCTGGTATGCTGTGTTTCCAGGAGAAACGCAGGCCCCATTCTCCCACCCACTTTCACACCCATGTCTTTACTGCAGAGAACAGGGATTTGGTACAAGCCCCAAGGCCTCAGAGTAAGAAGCTCACCTCCTGGACGTTCTGCTTGGCTGGTGTCACTTCCTACTGTGGAAGTTGTGGCCCCTGAGAGAGAGAGAAAAGAAAGGAAGGCGTAAAGATTAAGGTTTGGAAGAGTATACATGGTGCTGCGGGCAGAGTACATCAACCAAGGTGCCCATGCCCAGACTTTGCATGTATTTTCAGATGTGCCTGTCTTGTAACTTCCAGGTTTCAGTGTTTTTCCAGAGACTACACTAGTAATACCTACATTAAGAAAGACATGGTGTCACTAGTTCAACTGTTTGTCCACTGATTTGCATAGGAATTTCAAATCCACACTTGGAAGCAAACTATCACGCTGAGACTTGCAGTGCTAGAATTAATTCATATTTGTCCCAAGCAACATTTTTTTCCACAAAAATTTTACTGAAACAGTTCTTAACCATCATGTCCTTTTTTTGGTGGGGAAATTGGAATTTTTCTCCCCATATTACCTATTTATCTGTCATGGTTTAATGTTATGATGGTTTAATGAAAGCCCTTGTAAGTTCAGGAAATGAGGTAATATAATGACCGTCTAGTCTTTTTCTCTGAATTTTCACAATATAGCATATACAAATCTATAGATATTTTCAGAAGAATATTGAAGGTGTCATTGGGAATTAAAGGTCTTGGTTTAGCATCACTCACCCGTGGCTCTTCCAACACTTGTTGTTCCCCTTACTCCTGGGAACGTGGTGGCCTCTGAAGGAGATAAAGAGATGAGAGTTACCTGGAGAATATTTAAGGATCACAGAGAAGATGTGGCAGCGCTTCTACAAGGGATAATACAAAGGAGACATCTAATTATGGGAGGGCACATGGAAGATTTCATGTCAACCTGTTGACTTACCTGTCTTGGAACTGCCAGGGGCAACGGTTGTGCCAGGAGCTACCCCAGTGGTGGCTGAAACACAGGGGAGCTGGCATCACCACAGTGACTCTCGTTTGTCTACTGAAGGCCTGGCTCTAGAAGGAATCTGTTTACATCTTTAAGATGTCAAAGGCCACTTTGTCTGGCTGCCACTCTGATGTGTTTTCCCATTAATTAATAAACTATCAAAGCAATCAAAGGGGCCAAACTTAGGGCACTACATCTGGTATCCCAGGACAGCAAGACAGATGGTTTTCTCCCATGCTTACCTATTTCACTGCCAGGAGAAGAAAAAAAAAATTTGTTTTATGATAATTGTATCTATTTTTAATTATATTTTTAGTTGACACATAATTTTACATATTTACAGTGTGAGGTTTTGATTATACACACACATATATGTATATATAAATGTGTGTGTATATATATATATACACACACACATGCACACAGTGTAATAGTCAAGTCATGGTGTTTGGTATAACCATAATCTCTGACATTTATTATAGCTTTTCAGTAGGAAAATTACAATCCTCTTGGTATGGTTTGGCTGTGTCCCCATCCAAATCTCATCTTGAAATATAGCTCCCACAATTCACATGTGTCATGGAAGGGACCTGGTGGAAGATAGTTGAATCATGGGGCTGGATCTTTCCCCTGCTGTTTTTCTGATAGTGAATAAGTCTCACAAGATTGGATGGTTTTATAAAGGGGAGTTTCCCTGCACAAGTTATCTCCTGCCTATTGCCATGTAAGACATGCCTTTCTCCTTCCGCCATGATTGTTAGGCCCTCATAGCCACGTGGAACTCTGAGTCCATTAAACCTCTTTTTCTTAACGAACTATGCAGTCTTGGGTATATCTTTATCAGCAGCATGAAAATGGACTAACACGCCTCTCTTCAAAGTATTTTCAAATATACACTATAATATTGCTTACTATAGGCACTCCACTGTTAATGCCTACTATCTAATTGTGATTTTGTACCCATTGACTTACTACTGATTATTTCTATCACTTAGGGTCAAGAAAATATTTACATAGGCATGATTCCAAGAGTCATATATCTCTACTTCCCAGGATTAAAACTGTTTTTAGTTCTTACTACCATGCGGAAAATGTTTCTATCTAATGTTATAGGGAATTTCTCAAAACAATTACATTTCATTTACATCCCAACTAGAAGTCAACCCATTTGAAAAGTGTGTATTAAAAGGTTAAGGAAAATATTAAATTTAAAAATATATTTGGCCTCAGATAGATTGTCCCTAAATAAATTACTTAATATTCTGTAGGAAAGCCTACTTCCTCACAAGTCATCCCAAAAGTCATGATTCATGGTACCTCCCAAACCATCAGCTGCCCTCCTCACCTGTTCTGGATTCACTTCCAGTACTCCTTCTGTCTCCTGTGAGAGTTGTGGCCTCTGAGGAAAGAAACAGAAGAATCGAGAGGTCTAGGAAATTTGAGATATTGGTAAAAAGTACTGAGTTGCTGTTTTATCACTGAATTTCTATAAAGTTATCATGGATGCAAGATGAGGATGTCCATCTGATTGAACTACCTGTGTTGGAACCTCCCACTGAAATGGTTATCCCAGAGAATTTACCAGAAGTCCCTAAAATGAGAGAGCATAGGATCTAACAGGGCAAGCAGGACTGGAATCAGCAACGTGGTCCTGAACCACTGGAAAACTTTTCTTAAAAACTTATTTCAGAAAATATAAACCATGAATAAATTTTTGCCAACTTATTAACTAATGTTTTATACTGACTATTCCTTCCCCTGTACTCTACTGAAAAAGGAAGCTTAACTCCACTTTCTGATTTTACTTCAAATGTTGTGCTTTCCTTGTGTTATCAGGAAGGATAAAAAGACTTGAACATTCTAAATGTTCTCATATCAGTAACTGCAGATATTGTGCTTATCAGATGCTGAGCAATGCCCTTCTATAAGATATTTATATCTTCCCCTGCTGATTTTAAATAGTTCTTGCCTGGGTACCTGTGAACTGCTGCTGACACCAAATTAAACCATAGTGGTAGCTGTTAAAGTAAACATAGTGACACTCTGCATAATGATATGCCTGTCACCCATCTCATATTATGGAAGCATTTCCTTTGTGCTTGACATAGAGGAAAAGAACAGATAAAGGTCTCTGCCTCATGTGATTTACATTTGTGAAAGAGAGAACACAGGAAATAAACAAGATGTGTAAGAAATATGTTCGAGAGTTGGCAGCAGGTGATAGTGTTTGCAGAATCATTATGAGCAGAGTGGGGAGAATCAGGGTCCTGGGGAGGCTGCTGCAGGTCAGTGGGCCTCAGCCAGGGTTCAGAGAACTAACACTTTCACACAGGACACGGAGCAATGCCTGACTTAGGTAGCCCAGTGTGTGAAATTCCTTAGCAGAAACACTCAGGATGGTCAGAATACATGTTGTCCTTCCCAATAAGAAGTAACCCCCTTATGTTGACCCTGTTTCTCATCTATGTGTTATCTTGAGCACAATATTGCAATGATGAGAACTCTGAAGCCTGGGACTGATGATGCTTACCTGCTGGAGCTTCTGACCCGGTGATGCTGATTCCTCTTGTGGAACTTGTGGCCTCTGAGAGAAAAGAAAGCAAAGATGAAGTCTGCAGTATGGGAAGTACAGGGTTTTATAACCCTAGGAACCTGTCACCTGAGCAGCCAAGGTGTAGCGTTCCCTGTATGCTTTTGGACTTGCCTGTGTTTTCATTCCCAGGTTCAAGAGTCTTTCCAGAGAATGCTCCAGTGGTAGCTGTTAAGAAAGAGTTGGGTAATCACGGGTTAGTACCTTGTCGTCATCAAGTGGGCAGAGAATAACAAGCTAATAAATGGCTAAATCTGTATACTTATTCAATACTACAGGGAACTGGGCTTTAAATCCCAAGAGGTCAACTATATGCTCCTCATATAATATCCTTCTCACGGTATATTATCAAAGGAATGTAACTTATTGGGTCTCCATTTCTCTAGAGTTCATGAACTGGGTCCCAGCAGCTATCACTCTTGATTCTCTATGTAACTGTCCAATGGCTACATGATTACCTTGGGGACTAGCAGGAGGGTCTGCATAAAGTGTATAAAGAAATTAATTGTGAGTTTCTGATTTGCTATTACTGATTTGCTGCTTTTGAATTTCTGATTTGTTACTATTTTCAATAGCAAAATCACAATTAGTTTTGCACACATTTGATATAATTAATGAATGAAGGTAAGATTTTACCTAACAATGTTCAGTGTTGCAGAAATGTGTGTCATGGATACATTTCAAGCAATGATGTCTACTGGATGTTATTAAAAAGTGAGTCCAATGACCCAGAAATGCTCACCGCTGGTTATTCCACCTCTTGTCGTTACACTTTCACCTAGAGAAGCTGTGGCCCCTGAGGGACAGAAAAAAAGAAAAGGCAGATTAGGAAATATTCAAGGACCATGAAAGAACATGATACAATTTCTTGAAAGGACAGCACCAGAGGAAACATTGAACATCGATTATGGGAGGAGCTCTGAAGTTCTAGCAACCTGCAGACTCACCTGTGTTGGAACTGCCAGGGGCAAGAGTTGTGCCAGGAGCTGCCCTCGTGGTGGCTGAAACAATGAAGAGTGGGATCATCATGGTGACCAACGTTTTCCTTTCCTATAGGCCTGCCTCTAAAAACTATCTAGACCTATCTTAATGATTTATAAATGGTGCTTTCCATGATTCTTCCTGGGGTCATGCCATGTATAGTTTCTCAATATGCATTTTCCTAGCAAAACAATCAGAAGGTACTATTCCTCAACCTGAGGCAATATTTCCGGTCTTCCATCAGGAGACAGGTGGTGTTCCCCATGTTTACCATTTTACTTCCAAAATGTGGAAGACAAAACAATCTTCCTGGACTCTTATGCATCAAGAATATACTAAACATTTCTGTTATTTCTGAGGCAATGAAAACCATGATTTCGGTATGTTTCTGAGGCTCATTTCAGTTAATTCTTCTTCTCCAGATCAAAACTGTTTATAGTTCCTAGTAATACCCCGGCAACATTTCCATGTAACCTCACAGGAGAAACTTCTCAGAACAAATGCAATGGAAATCCCATTTTAAAAGAGGCTATTGGTAAAGGTTTATAAATGTAAAATCTAAAGAAAATTCTATGGGTCCTAAGACTCATTATCCCTAAACATGTGCATAATATTCTGCAGAAAAGTCCACTCCCAAACAGGACATCCTAATGAGAGTCAAGATTTGTGGTAACATAGTAATTATGGACTTCTCACCTTCATCTGCTCTGGATTCAGTTCCAGTACTGGCCCCACCTCCTGTGAGAGTTGTGGCCTCTGTCAAAGTAAAGAATAGAATCAAGACTTCTGGGAGACATTGGTAAAAAGCACTGTGTTGCTAATTCATGACTGCAGCTCTACAAAGTCATCATGCTTTCAAGATGAGGATTTCCTTCCCATTCAACTACCTGTATGAGAACCTCCAGATGTAAGTGTTGTCCCTGGGAATTCACCAGAAGTACCTACAATGAGAAGGTAAAGGAGCTAATAGCACAAACAACACTGGAAACAGCAAAGCTGTCTTCAACCATTGAAAGACCTTCCCTCAGAATCTGTTTCTGAAGGAAATGAACCACGAATGCTTTTCCTTGCAATGTATAGACTATTGTTTTGCTACTATTTCTTCCATCACAGCCTACTTAAAAAGAAGGAAGTTTAATCTCACTTTACAGATTTTATGTCTAATGACTTGAGTAAGAAAAAGTCTTGAACATTCTAAGTGTTCACTTTTGTGAAACAGGTAATATTGTGATTATCATGTTTTTAAGAATAAACGCATAGGAGATGTTTATAGCTCCCTTTTGCTTTTTTATGTAGCCTATGCCAACTGGCATGGGATCCTATGAACTGCTGCTGACTCCAAGGGAAACTATGTAGGTAGCCATTGAAGTAACCAGAGTGACATTCTACATAAGAATATGCCTGACACTCATCTCATATTCTGGAAGCATTTCCACTACGCCTGAGTCTTCTGTCAGTCAGAAGAAGAGACAAGGTCTCTGCCTTGTGTGATTTACATTTGTGGGAGAGGGAACACAGGAAATAAATAAGTGTAATAAATATGTTTGAAAGATGGCAGCAGGTGATAGTACTTTGCAGAATCATAAAGAGCTGAGTGGGGAGAAGCTTTCCAGGAAGGCTGCTGCAGGTCAGTGGACCTTAGCCAGGTATCCAAAGAAGTAACACTGTCAAACAGGCCATGGAGCAATGCCTGACTTAGATGACCCAGTTTCTGAAATTCCTTTGCATAACTAATCAGGATGGTCAGAATACATGTTGTGCTTCCAGGCAAGAAGTAACTCCTTTCCTTGGTCCACTTTCTCATTAATGTGTTCACCTCAGCACAACAGGGCAATCAGAAGAACCCAAAAGCCTGGGAGTGGTGAAACTTACCTCTTGGAGCTTCTGACCTGGTGTTACTGACCCCTCCTGTGGAAATTGTGGCCTCTGAGAGAAAAAAAAGCAAGGATGAAGTCTGCAGTTTGGGAAGTACAGGGTTATGTAACCCTAGGAGCCTGTCACCTGAACAGCCAAGGTGTAGCATTCCATGTGTGCTTTTGGACTTGCCTGTGTTGTCACTGCCAGGTTCCAGAGTCTTTTTGGAGAATGCCCCAATGGTAACTATTAAGAAAGAGATGAGTAGTCATAGGTCAGTACCTTATTACCATAAAGTGAGCAAACGGTATCAAGTAATTAAGTAGACACAGTCTGTATGCTTATTTATTATTCCAGTAAACTGGGATTTTTTTTTTTTTGACAGAGTCTCACTCTTACCCTAGCTGGAGCATAGTGGTGCAGTTTTAGCTCACTGCAACCTCTACCTCCTGGGCTCAAGCTGTCCTCCAGCCTCAGCCTCCTGAGTAGCTGGGACTACAAGCACATGCCACCACACCCAGCTATTTTTTTTTCCATTATTTATTTTATTGCATTTTAGGTATTATTATTATTATTATTTTGCAGAGACAGTGTTTTGCCATATTGCCCAGGCTGGTCTCAATCTTGACTTAAGTGGTCCTCCCGTCTCAGCCTCCCAAAGTTCTGCTATTACAGGCATGAGCCACCATGACCAGCCATAAACTGAGCTTTTTATGCCTAACAGTGATCTGCATATTCTTCATACAATACACATGTGACAGTATATTTACCAAGTAATTTTTTACTTATTAGGCTTTCTTTCTTCTAGAGTTCAGGACTAGGGAGATAGAAGCTACTCTCTAGACCATCTAAATTAGTGTCAGTGGAACAGCTGCAAGATTGCCTTGGGGGTTATGAGGACAGTCTGTTCCAAGCTCAAAGCTCCAAGTTTTGTTTTTATTTCCATGGTTTGAAATAAGAAAAAACTTTGAGAATCTGAAAGCTTAGTCAATGAATAATGGTAAGATTATAGCTAATAATCCTCGGTATTGGATAAATGATTATATTTATGGATATATTTCAGTCTATAATCCTTTGGGGATATTATTGGCAGGTGAATGCAATGCTCACCTGTGGCTAATTCACCTCTTGTGGTCCCACTTCCTCCAAGGTATGCTGTGGTATCTGAAAGAAAGAAAAACAGAAAGGACATATTTGGAAAATATTGAAGGACCATAAAACAGATATGATATTACTCATGGAGTGAATTGTACCAAATGAGATGTCTAATTACGTAAAGATCCCTGAAGAGTTCCCTGACAATCTATACACTCATTTGTATTAGAACTTCCAGGGGCAAGAATTGTGCCAGGAGCTATCCCAGTGGTGGATGAAACATCAACAGGACTGTGTTCCTTACAGTGCTTATGTTTTCTCCCAAAAATCTGGCTCTAGAAAGAATCTAAATGTATCATCATTATATCCAAATAACTCTTTCTCTGGTTCTTCCCTGATGATCAGCCATATGTATTTTCTCTTTAACAATTTTATGACCAAATAGAAAGATTAATCAATTTCTCACCATGTGGCAATATTCTTGGAATTCAATTAGGGGAAGATAGGTGGTTTTCTCCCAGATTCATTGGTTTTATTTACTTAAAAAAAATAAGTTTAATGGGTGTTTTAGACATCAAAAAAATAAAAATTATTTGTATTGTTTTAGGGGCATAGAAACCTTTACTAGGAATGATTTCAAGGTTAATTTACCCTGTCTCTACTTCCCAAGAACAAAATTGTTTTAAGCTCATTCTAAAACTCTGGCAATGTTTGTAGCCTTATAGGAGAAATTTCACAAGACAAATTCAAGAGGCATCACATTCAAAAGACACTACTGATAATTAAAAAAGAAAAAACATTAAATCTAAAAAAAATTTATTTGGCCTTAGATTCACTGTCTCTTAAAAAAAATGCACAATGTGGTTTTCATTTGTATTTCTCTAATGACCAGTGATATGATGAGCACTTTTTCATATGTTTCTTGGCCACATAAATCTTTTGAAAAATACCTGTTCATATCCTTTGCCCACCTTTTGATGGGATTCTTTGTTTTTTTCTGGTAAATTTGTTTTAGTTCTTTGTAGATTCTGGGTATTAGCCCTTTGTCAGGTGGGTAGCTTGCAAAACCTTTTGCCCATTCTGTTGGTTGTCAGTTAACTCTAATGATTGTTTCTTTTGCTGTGCAGAAGCTCTTAAGTTTAATTAGATTCCATTTGTCTATTTTGGCTTCTGTTACCATTGCTTTTGGTGTTTTAGTCACGAAGTCCTTGACTATGCCTATGTCCTGAATGGTATTGCCTGTTTTCTTCTAGAGTTTTTATGGTGTTGAAATACCATCTCACACCAGTTGGAATGGTGATCATTAAAAAATCTGGAGACAACAGATGCTGGAGAGGATATGAAGAAATAGGAATGTTTTTACACTGTTGGTGGGAGTGTAAATTAGTTCAGCCACTGTGGAAGACAGTGTGGTGATTCTTCAAGGATCTAGAAATAGAAATACCATTTGATCCAGCAATCCCATTACTGGGTATATACCCAAAGGATTATAAATCATACTATTATAAAGACACATGCACATGTATGTTCATTGTGGCACTGTTTACAATAGCAAAGATTTGGAACCACCCCAAATGCCCATCCAGGATAAAGAAAAGGAGGATCCAAGATGGCTGTTTAGGAACAGCTCAGGATTGCAGCTCCCAGTGAAAGCGCAGAGGGTGAGTGGACGCTGCATTTTTATTGCCCACAGACTAGGAAATCCCCAGGCGGAGGAGCTCCACAGGTCACCAGCGCGGCTGTTTCGGCCAGCGCAGCTGTGCAGGCCAGCGCCGCTGCTTTGCCCCACGTGGCTGCTTTGTCGGTGCCCCGGAGCAGCAGTTCTCCATACAAAATACACCAGTCCGGGTGCCCTTTTGGCTGGCGATTGGAGCCACGGGAAGTCACCCATTCGTCTGTTTAAAAAGGGGACTGAGGGGCTGGGCACGGTGGCTCAAGCCTGTAATCCCAGCACTTTGGGAGGCCAAGGTGGGTGGATCACAAGGTCAAGAGATTGAGACCATCCTGGTCAACATGGTGAAACCCCGTCTGTACTAAAAATACAAAAAATTAGCTGGGCATGGTGGCGCGTGTCTGTAGTCCCAGCTACTCGGGGGGCTAAGGCAGGAGAATTGCCTGAACCCAGGAGGTGGAGGTTGCGGTGAGTCGAGATCGCGCCATTGCACTCCAGCCTGGGTAACGAGCGAAACTCC